GTCAGTGATAACCCCCAGGATGTTAATACTGTACTGTAATGTAGGTCGACCTGGAGAATTGAATTTTATTTTAAAAATCAATCACCTGTTCAGTGATCGAAGTAACAAGGTCAAAGAAGCCAGTTTAAGCTCTTAAAAAGAGTATCTTCCCACTTCTATTTCACATCCTGTAACATTATTTACTCAGTTACTTAAAAACAACAGCCATGAAACACTGTTATTCAAAAATGAACCTTGATTAAGTTTAATTAAGGAACCAATAGACAATAACATTGTAAAGGCTGGATCTTCATTTTAAACATTCACTCTGCATGAACTGAAATGTTTCTAGAAACCGCAGAGCGAACAGAAATTGATCAGACAAAGAAATTCACTTCTCTCATTTTGCTGAGCATCATGTCGTGTCAAAGTCCAGCATGTTCTCCGATCTGTTCGAGATTTACCGAGTAAGAAAGATCAGAGTTTTCCACAAATTTGTCTTTTTGAACCAGTGTCTATTGTATCCATTCAAATGCGTTAATTAAAGCTCACTGCAAAAATTTGCTACCAGCCAGCAGATGATGGAGTAATGGATGAGCCTTAAGTGGGGTTTCAATTAATGAAATCAATATTTGCCGTAAAATGGTAACAACATAATTGTGTGTGTGTTTGTTAAGAACGTACAATTAAGATGAATGTACTAACAGCAGAAATCTTCAGGCTCTGTCTTTTGAACTTACCTGAATAACTGATAGTGTGGAATCAGAGGGGTTCCTTGTGGTGCAGAGATTATGTCCCTAACTTCAAGCCAGGAGGCTTGGGTTCAAGGCCCAGTCCCCTGAGAGGTGACTTTGGACTGGTTGATTAAAACTATCCAAAATCCAGTAAAGGGACGACAAGAAACTGTTCAATTGAGAGCGGCTAGGGAAAGTAATAGGAGATCCAATTAACTCGATCCGGGAACAAAGCTGACGAACAGACCCAGCTTTGCTGTGAGGTGATGGTCAGGCCACTTTTGGAATACTGAGTCTAATTCTGGTCCCCCTGCCACAGGAAGGATGTTGTGAAACTTGAAAGGGTCGCAGGAAAGATTTACAAGGATGTTGCCAGGGTTGGAGGGTTTGAGCTATAGGGAGAGACTGAATAGCCTGAGTGTATTTTCCTCGAGCATAGGAGGCTGAGGGGTGACTGTCAGAGGCCCAGATGACCTTTATAGAGGTTTGTAAAATCATGGGGGCACAGCAATAGAGTGAATAGCCAAGGTCTTTTCTTCAGGGTGGGTGAGTCCAAAACTAGAGGACATAGGTTTAAAGTGAGAGGGGAAAGATTTAAAAAAGGACTTGAGAGGTAACTTTCACGCAGACGGTGGTGTGTATATGGATGAGCTGTCAAAGGAAGTGGTGGAGGCTAGTACAATTACAACATTTAAAAGGTAGGTGGATGGTGTACATGGATAAGGAGGGTTTAGGGGGATATGGGCCAAATACTGGCAAATGGGACTAGATTAATTTGGGATATCTGGTCGGTAGGGACAAGTTGGAGCGAAGGGTCTGTTTCCGTGCTAAACATCTCAATGAATCTGACTTTGGGGCTGACACTTGAGATTTTGAAGGTCATTGAGTCGTACAGCACAGAAGCAGACCCTTCATCCCAACTCGTCCATGCTGACCAGATTTCCTAAACTGAACCCAGCCTATTTGCCTGCATTTGGCCCATATCCCTCTTAAACCTTTCCTAACCATGTGCCTGTCCAAATGTCTTTTGAATGTTGTAATTGTACCTGTCTGCAACACTTCCCCTGGTTCCATACCACCCTCTGCGTTAACAAGTTGTCCCAGGGGTCCCTTTTAAATCTTTCCCCTCTCGCCTTAAACCTATGCCCACTAGTTTTGGACTCCCCTACTCTAGGGAAAAGATAGTGTCTATTCACTCTATCTGTTAACCTCATGATTTAATAAACCCCTCAACATGTACTGTCCAAAAAAGTAACCAGAGAGGGTTACGGTTCCCTCAGCACGGGCACAAGGAATACGGGATATTAGAACACCGCTTCGGAATAAGGGACAATCCACTTAGACCCTTGAGTATAGGAGCTGGGATGTAATGTTGAGGTTGTACAGGACATTGGTGACGCCTCTTCTCGAGTCCTGTGTCCAGTTCTGGTCACCCTGCTACAGGAAGGATATTATTAAACTGGAGATGGTTTAGAAGAGATTTACCAAGGTTATGCTGGTAATGGAGGGTTTGAGATGTGAAAATAGGCTGGGACTTTTTTCACTGGAGCGTAGGAGATTAAGAGGTGAGTTTAAAGTCAGCAGGGGCACAGATAAGGTGAATGGCAGGTGTCTTTTCCCTAGAGTGGGGGATTTCAAGACTAGGGGACACATTGTTAAGGTGAGAGGAGAAAGATTTTAAAAAGGACATGAGGGGCAACTTTTTTTTTAACACAGTGGGTTCATGTGTGGAATGAACTGCCAGAGAAAGTGGTAAATATCGGTATAGTTTAAAAGACATTTGGATACATACATGAATAGGAAAAGTTTGGAGGGATATGGGCCAGGAGCAGGCAGGTGGGACTAGTTTAGTTTGGGATGATGGTCAGCACAGACTAGTTGGACCGCAGGGTCTGTTTCTGTGCTGTGTGACTGAGATAGGGAGGAATTTCTTCACTAGGAAGGGTGGCAAATCATTGGAATTCTCCAGAGCTATGTGAACCCAGACACTGAACGTGTCCAAGGCTTTTCGGATGCTAACGACATCAACGGAAATGGGGACAGGCAGGAAAGTGACGTTGGGGTAGAGAATCAGCCGTGGTCTAGTCGAATGGCAAAGCAGGCTGCAGGACCTGAATGGCCTAATCCTCCTCCTACGATTCAGTCTTCTTCCTCGGGACCTACCCGATCTACAGCCCAGGTTTCATTTGAAATCCATCCAATGGCTTTCTGAGAGAGGTTTCTCAGTGGCAGACACAGTCAAGAACTGTCTAATGGAACAGCTTTAATCTAAATTTTGTGCATTCGCTTTTAAAACTTAATTGTGTGGAGCAGGAGCAGACCACTTGGCCCCTTCACCCTGCTCTGCCGGTCGATTTATAACCAAGACTGATCCGAATGTGGCCTCCACTTCACTTTCCCAGCTCCCCACCCACCCAGATAACCTTTCAGTCCCTTGTGAGTGATGGATCTATCTACCATTGCCCCAGAAATATTCAATGACACTGCTTCCGCGGGGAAATGGGGTATCAACGAGCCTCTGAGAGGAACATGTTCTCCGCCATCTGAAAAGGGAGAGCCCTCCCTGTCAAACTGTCCACTAGTGCCAAATGCTCTCCCTCCCATCCATCTCCTCCACCCAGTGTCTCTCTCTCTCTCTCCCCCAAAACGGAATAACCCTGAACAGCATTAACCCTGTCAGGCCCCTCAGGATATTCTGTGTCGAGTCACACAGCACGGAAACAGACCCTTCGGCCCAACCACTCCGTGCCGACCATGATCCCAAACTAAACTAGTCCCACCTGCCTGGTCCGGGCCCATATCTCTCCAAACATGCTTTATTCATGTACTTATCCATCTGTCTTTTAAACACTGTAACTGTACCCACATCCACCACTTCCTCAGGAAGCTCATTCCACACACAAACCACTCTCTGCATTAAAAAAAGGTTACCCCTTATGTCCTATGTAAATCTTTCTCCGCTCACTTAAAAAATATGCCCCCTAGTCTTGAAATCCTCCATCCTAGGGACAAGACACCTGCTATTCACCTTATCTATACCCTTCTTGATTTTATAAACCTGTATAAGGCCACCCCTCATCCTCCTGCATTCCAGTGAAAAAAATCCCAGCCTATCCAGCCTTTCTTTGGAACTCAAACCCTCCATTCCCGGCATTGGCCTGGCAAATCTCTTCTGAGCTCTCCCTAGCTTAATAATATCCTTCCTATAACAGGGAGACCAGAACTGGACAAGTGCTCGAGAAAGGGCCTCACCAACGTCCTGTACAACCTCAACATGATATGTTTCAATGAGATTTTCTCTGACTTTTCTAAACTCCAGTAGATAGAGGTCCAGCATTTTTTCATAAGATAACCACCCCAATCCCCATCCCATTCCAGGTATGACTTGAAATATGGCCATTCTGACAGGGCAGTGCTCCTCCAGTATTGGCAGCGGGAATGTCAGCTCTGGACAGTAGAGATTCTAAGCTATAGGAAGGATGTTGTTAAACGTGAAAGAGTTCAGGAAAGATTTAGAAGGATGTTGCCGGGACTGGAGGGTTTGAGCTACAGGGAGAGGCTGAATAGGCTGGGGCTATTTTCCCTGGAGCGTCAGAGGCTGAGGGCTGACCTGAAAGAGGTTTATAAAATCACGAGGGGCATGGATAGGGTGAATAGCCAAGGTCTTTTCTCCGCCAGGGTAGGGGAGTCCAAAACTAGAGGGCATAGGTTTAAGGTGAGAGGGGAAAGATTTAAAAGGGAGTCCGGAGGGGCAACTTTTTCATGCAGAGGGTGATGATTGTATGGAACGAGCTGCCAAGGGAAGTGATGGAGGCTGGTACAATTGCAACATTTAAGAGGCATCTGGATGGGTATATGAATAGGAAGGGTTTAGAGGGATATGGGCCAAATACTGGCAAATGGGACTAGATGAATTTAGGATATCTGGTTGGCATGGACAAGTTGGACCGAATGGGTCTGTTCCCTGCTGAACAACTCTGTGACCGCCACGTTGCCCTGTCAGAATAGAATCGCTACAGTGCTGAAAGAGGCCGGATGGCCCATCCAGTTCATCCAGACCCACACCCCCCCCACCCATCCTCTCCCTGTCACCCAGCATTTCCCGTGCCTAATCGACCTCGCCTGCACGTTTTTGGGCACTACGGGACAATTTAGCACTGCCAATGCACCCCAACCGGGGATGTGTTTGGACTGTGGGAGGGAGAAATGTGCAAAATCACTCACACACACACACACACACACACACACACACACACACACAGTCGACCGAGGGTGGAATCGAACCCACGTCCCTGGCACTGAGAGGCAGCGGCGCTGACCACTGTGCCACCCCTGAAGGGCAGCAACGATCACTCATGAACTCGCTGGTGTCTCCGCAGGTGGGAGGAAGCGCTGAAGCGCATCTCGCACTCCGAACACGGGAAAGGCCTCTCGCCGGTGTGGACCCGCCGGTGGCTCTGCAGGCTGGCGAGCCGGGCGAATCTCTTCTGGCACACGGTGCAAGCGAAAGGCCTCTCGCCGGTGTGGACCCGCTGGTGCCTCCGGAGGTCGGCCGAAACTCTGAACCTCTTGGCGCAGTGAGCGCAGCTGAACGGCCTCTCCTCGGTGTGAGTCCGCTGGTGGACCATCAGGTCGCCGGAGTTTTTGAAGCCGGCCCCGCAGTCAGAGCACTTGAAAGGCCTCTCGCTGGCGTGCGTGGCGCGGTGGTTCAGCAGGCTGGACGATGTGCCGAACGCCTTCCCGCAGGCCGTGCAAGTGAACGGCCTCGCCCCGCTGTGAACCCGCTGGTGCTTCCAGAGATTGGACGAAAACCGAAAGGCCTTCCCGCACTGGGAGCAAGGGAACGGCCTCTCGCCCGAGTGGACCCGCTGGTGCCTCAGCAGATGGGAGGAAGCGCTGAACCCCATCCCGCACTCGGAGCAGCAGAACGGCCTGTCTCCGGAGTGGACGCGCTGGTGCGTCTGCAGGCTGGCCAACCGAGTGAACCCCTTCCCGCACACTGAGCAGGTGAACGGCCTCTCCCCGGTGTGAACCCGGCGATGGGCTTCCAGCTCGGACGGGGAGCGGAAGCCCTTCTGACAGTCCCCACACTTCCATGATTTCTCCATAGACTGTCTCTCTCCACGACTGACAAACGGGTGAAATCCACGTGTACGGTCTCTTTCCTGCTGGGATTGAGGCAGTATCGTTTTTTTTCAGGCTGTGTAACCGTTCGAAGCTCTTCCTATGGTCAGATCACTGGAACATACTGATTTGGACTTGTGCTTTTCCAGCCACAGCGATGTTTATTCCGAATGGACTCCTTGTCTCCCACAGACTCTGTGACTGAAAATATACAACACAGCTATAGTTCTATATAACAAAATGAGAAATAGTACTAAAGGCACATCATTACTAAACCGTGAAAAGAAATTTAATATGTACCATGAAGTCATACAGAAATGGAAATGTATTTATTTATTGACGGGATTTGGCATTTAATTCCCCTTGAGAAGGTGCTGGTGAGCTGCCTTCTAGAACCACTGCAGTCAGGCAACAGACCCTCCAGTGCAACTCGTCCAAGTTTCCCGAACTAAACTAGTCCCATTTGGCTGCATATCCCTCTAAACCTTTCCTTACCCTCTGCATATACCATGTAAGAATCACAAAAAGTTGGTTTGCCGGTAATTCAGAAGGCAAATGGAATATTGTCTTTCATTGCTGGAGGGATGGAGTTTAAAAACAGGGAAGTTATGCTGCAGCTGTATCGGGTGCTGGTGAGGCCACACCTGGAGTACTATGTACAGTTTTGGTCTCCTTACTTGAGAAAGGATGTAATGGCAGTGGAGGGCATGCAGAAGTGATTCACTCGGTTGGTTCTGGAGTTGAGAAGTTTGCCTAATGAGGAGAGATTGAGTAAACTAGGACTGCACTCTCTGGAAATTAGAAAATAATTAAGGGGGGATCTTATTAGAAACATATGAAATTATTGAGGGAATAGATAAGACAGAAGCAGGAGGGTGAAACTAGAACTGGGGGTATAGCCTCAAAGTAAGGGGTAGCAGATTTCAGGCTGAGTTGAGGAGGAACTTCTTCACCCAAAGGGTTGTGAATCTGTGGAATTCCCTGCCCAGTGAAGCAATTGAGGCTACCTCATTGAATGTTTTAAGGCAAAGGTAGATAGATTACTGAACAGTAAAGAAAGAAAGGGCTGTGGTGAGTGGGCAGGTAAGTGGAGCTGAGCATGATCTTATAGAATGGAGCAGCCTCAAGGGGCCAAATGGCCTGCTCCTAATCCTATTGCCGTTGTTCTAAGCAATCTAAACATATCTCTGTCCTTTACTAATTTAATGCCCCTTTAAACGCCAGCAACCCCTCGATGTTCGACATGAGAAAAGGGGGAACAGGGATGCCAGTGTCTTTAAAACTGAGGATGGGAAAGCTGGGACAAGATGTCCACGGTCCCTTTTCCTTCGGTTGCTGCAAATTAAAAAAAATTAACCCCAGAATGAGTAAAGAAATGGAATGGTAGGGGAGAAAAAGACAAGTGCTGTGCTCACAGATGTTGGACAGAGGAGGAAGTTGCAGTCTGGGGTGAAGCTCAATCTTCATTCAGAGAGAGAGGAGCAGCAGTAACAGTTTCAGAAGGTAATTGACCAACATCCGCATTCTGACAATAGGAGGGCTCCGATTGGCTGGAGGACCAGAATGCTTCCGGTCCTCCAGCACCTCCCATTGGTCGGCTGCCCCCTGCGGCGCAGCTGTGGAAAGGAACACAGCCGCTCCTCCGAGCTACACATGCGCAGTCTGTACTCCACGGCCCTTCGTTCAGATCCATTGGATTTCCAAACGTGGTTTCCTTGTCGTAGCTGGGATCTGTGCAGTCCCGGCTCACACTCCAAACCCCAGGACCGAAGAAGAAGTATGGGAACTAGTGGTGATCCCACAATGCATGCACCTCCAGTAATCATTAGGAATTGATTTTGAGATCTCTTTAGCCAAACGGTGGCAGAGTGTTTGATCTGATCCATTTATTGTCACGTGTATCTTATTACAAAATACAGTGAAAAGTGTTGTATAGGGTCGACACTCTGCTGTGCCGTCTTAAAACACAGTGAAAAGAAGCAAAACATAGAATAATGAAGGCAGAAAAAAATAAATAAGGATAGCGTCCAACATCTTCAGACAGCTTTAAAACGTGGGCCGAAGGGCCTGTACTGTGCTGTACTGTTCTATGTTAACTTTTCAGTCCTTCTTGTTAAGTAGTTTGCGCTGCTGCCTCACGGCAGCAGGGACTTGGGTTCGATTCTACCCTTGGGCGACGGTCTGTGCAGAGTTTGCCTGTTCTCCTCGTGTCTGCTCCAGGTGCTCAGATTTCCTCCCACAGTTCAAAGATATGCAGGTTCGGGTGGATTGGCCATGCTAAATTGCCCATGGTGTCCAGGCATGTGCAGGATTAGCCACGGAAAATGCAGGGTTACAGGGATAGGGTAGGGGGCTGGATATGGGGGGGGGGGCTCCTCAGAGGGTTGGTGTGGACTTGACGGGCTGAATGGCCTGCTTCCATTCTGTAGGGATTCTGTGAAACAGTTTGGAGAGTTCTAGTTGCGATCAATCATCTATACAGTGGATCACAAGATTTCCAATTAAGCTTTCAACCCCAAGCCTCACCACCGTATAGACAGTTACTGTGATGCCTGAGGAAATGTTCAAGAACATCCTCAAACCTCCCCTGAAAGATGCAATATCCCTCTGACTGCTATGTTCTTATTAATTTGATTGCTAAATTTAAATCTGAGATGCGAGAGATTCAAGAGATATAGGCCAATAGTAGGCAAATCAAGATGAGCCACAGATCAGCCATGATCTTATTGAATGGCAGGGAAGGGCTCAGGACTGAATGGCCTACTCCTGTTCTTATGATTCCTTGGAATCTCTGGCCAATAGCACCCAATTTGAAGAATCAGCATCAGAAGGGCAAAGGAGCCAACGCTTTTGAGCATGACCAACAGGAACAGATGAAGTGAAAACAAAAAATGCTGGAAATTCACAGCGGGAGAGGCAGCATCCATAGAGAGAGAGAGAGCAAGCTAATGTTTTGAGTCTGGATGACTCTTCTTCAGAGCTGGATCCTGAAGGACCATACCAGAAAAATGACAGGTGTTCACAAAGCCATCATTTTAAGTATAGGATATATGCTCACAACAGATAAATTCTAGATGCAATAAACATTCTTCACACTCTAAGGCAATAAATCTACATCCCATATGGACTCTGTTGGAAAGATTGTAACACTAATTCATCCGCTTATCCTCTTGCTTTTACCCGTCTTCCCCAACCCTGGAGGTGCTGACTGTCAGGTTTAGTTTCACAGTCACTTATTTCCCCCGCCAATCTGTTAGTGTCTGAATCTTTATAAAAGCGAAGTGCTGTGGATGATAAAGAACTGTCAGGTGTAGACAGCTGGGATCGAATGAATCCCTAGAGGTGTATAAGTGCAGTAGGGTAACCAGGAGGGCCAAAAGGAGATGTGAGATAAAGTTGGTAAATAGGGTCAAGGAGAATCCAAAGAGATTCTACAAATATATTAAGGACAAAAGAGTAACTAGGAAGAGAAAAGGGCCCTTTAAGGATCAACAGGGCAGAACCATAGAAAATGGGTGAGATAATAAATGAGTATTTTTGTCCGTTTTTACTGTGGAGGAGGATATGGAAGCTAGAGAACCTGGAGAAATGAACAGTGATATCTTGAAAAGTGTCCATATTACAGCAGAGGAGATGCTGGTTGTCTTTAAACACAAAAAGGTGGATAATCCCCAGGACTTGATCAGGGCAGTACAGTGGCTCAGTGGTTAGCACTTCTGCCTCACAGGATCAGGGACCCGGGTTTGATTCCACCCTCAGGTGACGGTCTGTATGGAGTTTGCACATTCTCCCTGTGTCTGTGTGGGTTTCCTCCGGTTGCTCAGATTTCCTCCCACTGTCCAAAGATGTGCAGGTTAAGTGGATTAGCCATGCTAAATTGCCCATAGTGTCCAGGGATGTGCCGGCTAGTGGACTAATCAAGGGAACAGGAATAGAGGGATGGGTCTGGGTGGACTGCTCTTCGGAGGGTCAATGTGGACTTGATGGGCTGAATGGCGCCGTTCCACACTGTAGTGATTCTATGATTCTAGGTGTACCCTATAACTCTGAGGGAGGATAGGGAAGTGATTGCTGGGCCCCCATGTTGAGATATTTGTACCATCAATAGACAGGTGGGAAGGAAAAGCTAGGGGACTATAAACTGGTGAATCTGATATCAGTGGTGGTTAAGTTGTTGGAGGGGATTCTGAGGGATTTACATGTGTTTGGACAGGCAGGGAATGATTAGGTGTAGTCAACGTGGCTTTGTGCATGGGAAATCACAAACTTGATTGTTTTTATTGATTTAAACATTCACTGTGTTTCTCTCCAAGCTCAGAGCAGGCAAATGTTTTCTCTCCAGTGTCAGCTCTGGTGTTTCTGAAGAGTGGATGAATCAGGAATCCCTTCCAACATTCACAGCAGGTGAATAGCCTCTCCTCTGGTGTGACCACATGGATGAAATTCCAGCATTGGAATGAATGGGAAATCATGCCTGACAAATTTACTGGAATTCTTTGAGGAGGTGATGAGAAGGTTGAAGGGGAAGCAGTGAATGTAATATATTTGGATTTTCAGAAGGCATAAGATACCATTTATGAGGCTACTTAATAAGACAAGAGCCCATGGCATTTGGAAGTACTTTATTGGCATGGTTTGAAGGTTGGCTAACAAACGGAAGACAGCGAGATGGAACGAGGATGGGACATTTTCAGAATGGCAACTAGTGCAACTTTTTTTAAGATTCATTCACAGGATGTGAGCATCATTGGCTAGACCAGCATTTATTGCTCATATCCCCAGAAGGCAGTTAAGAATCAACCACATTGCTGTGGGTCTGGAGTCACATGTAGGCCAAACCAGATAAGGATGACAGTCTCCTTCCATAAAGGACATTAGTCAACCAGATGGGTTCCAGCAATTGACAATAAATTCATGGTCATCATTAGATTTTTTTAATTGAATTCAAGTTCCGCCATCCACCCTAAGAGGCTTTGAACCCAGGTCCCTAGAATGTTCCCTGCTCTCTAAATTAACAGAAACAGTGACAATGCCACTAGGCCATCACCTCCCCAAAACTAATGGACTGAAATAAGGTTCAATGCAGGGGACAGAATTATTTACAATATATATTAATGACTCAGCTAAGGAAAGTGAATGAACCATAGCCCAGTTTGCGAATGACATAAAACTAGGTGGTGGGCAGGACACAGTCTGCAGTGCGATACAGACCAGGGAAAGCAAGTGGGTGAAAAACTTAGCAGATAGAATGTGTCGCCTCACAGCGCCAGGAACCTGGGTTTGATTCCAGCCTCAGGCGACTGTCTTGTGCATTCTCCCCATGTCTGTGTGGGCTTCCTCCAGGTGCTCTGTTTTCCTCCCACAGTTTTGCAAATTAGATGGATTGGCCAAGCTAAATTGCCCGTAGTGTCCAGGAATGCGCAGGCTCGGTGGATTAGCCGTGGGAAATGCAGGGTTACAGGGATAGGATAGCGGGTTGGGTCTGGATGGGATGCTGTTCAGAGGGTCAGTGTGGACTCAATGGGCCAAATGGCCTACTTCCACACAGTAGGGATTCTATGAATACAGTATGGGAAATTTTGAGGTTATGTACATTGGCAGGAAGAATAGAGGAATGGAATATTATTTAAATGCTGCAACACGTTAGTATCCAAAATCAGCAGGTAATGAAAATGAAAATGCAAGCTGGAAAAGCACAGCAGGTCAGACAGCATCCAAGGAACAGGAAAGTCATTGAGCTGAAATCTTTTGTCAGGACTGGGGAGGGGGTGGAGAGCCCAGAAGTAAATACGGGGTGGGGCTGGGGGAAGGGTAGGTGGAATGGTGATAGGCAGATGCAGGTAGGGGATTATTGTGCTTGGTCAGTGGGAAGGGTGGAGCGGATAGGTGAGTAGGAAGATGGACAGGTTAGCTCAGGTCAGGGAGGCAAGGAGGAGGGGGAAGACTAGACATGGGATAAGGATGGGAGTGGAGGGATTTCCTTCCCACTCCTCCCCACCTCCCTGCCCTGACCTAACCTGTCCATCTTCGTCTGCACCTATCCGCTCCATCCTTCCCACTGACCAACCACAATTACCTCCTACCTGCATCCACCTATCACCATCTCACCTACCCTTCCTCCAGCTGCACACCTCTCCCTCTATTTACTTCTGGGGTCCCCTCCCCCTCCCCCTTCCCAGTCCTGACAAAAGGTTTCAGCCCGAAACGTTGACTTGCCTGCTCCCTGGATGCTGTCCAACCTGCTGTGCTTTTCTGGCTTCACAGTTATCAATTGTGGCTTCCAGCATCTGCAGTCCTGACTGTCTCCAAGTAATGAAAATGGAAAGTGGGCCTTAATTTCGAAGATAATGGAGTATCAAAGTAGAGATACTTTGCTAAATCGACACATAGCACTAGTCAGACTGCAGTTAGATTAGTGTGAACAGTTTTATCCAAGGAAAGATTTATTGGAATTGGAGGCTGTCAAACAGAAGGTTTACTTGGCGGATACCAGGTATGGAGGGATTGTCTTCTGAGGAGAGGTTGAATCGGTTGGGGCCTGTACTCACTGGAGTTTAGAAGAATGAGAGAAGACCTTATTAAAACAACATTAAGGGGATTTGGCAGGGTAGATGTGGAGAGGTTGTGCATGAGTTTCCTCCGGGTGCTCCGGTTTCCTCCCACAGTCTGGAGATGTCCAGTTTAGGTGGGTTGGCCACACTGAATCCCTTGTGGGAGAGTCTAGGACCAGAGGACATCATTTCAGAATTAGGACTCGCCCATTGAAGACAGAGACAGGAGAAATTTCTTGACTGAAAGTAGTGAATCTGAGCAATTGATATGTATATTCAAGGTTGAGGGAGAGACAGAGAGGTTTTAATCAGGAAAGAAATCAAGGGTTACAGGGAAATGGCAGAAAAGCAGAAGTGAGGATGATCAGATCAGTCATGATCTCACAGTGGCTCAGTGGTTAGCTCTGCTGCCTCACAACGCCAGGAACCCAGCTTTGATTCCAGCCCCGTGGCAACTGTCTGTGTGAGTTTGCATGTTCTCCCCCGTGTCTGTGTGGGTGTGTTCTGGTTCCCTTTCAAAGATGTGTAGGTTAGGTGGATTGGCTATGCTAAATTGCTAGCAGTGTTTAGGTGGATTGGCCATGGGAAATGTAGGGATAAGGTGGGTCTGGGTGGGATGCTGTTTGGAGGAACTTGATGGGCCAAATGGCCTGTTTCCACACTGTAGGGATTCTATGATATGTGCAGACTTGGTGGGCTGAATAGCCTACTTTTGCTGTGTTTTAAGACATTAAAAACATGTTTATGACATAGAAACATAGAAGATAGGAGCAGGAGGAGGCCATTTGGCCCTTCAAGCCTGCTTCACCATGCATAACGATCATGGCTGATCATTCAATTCAATAGCCTAATCCTGTTTTCTCCCAATAACCTCTGATGGCATTCGCCCCAAGTGCTATATCTAGCTGTCTCTTGAATACATTCAATATTTTGGCTTCAGCTACCTCCTGTGATGATGAATTCCACAGGCTCACCGCTCTTTGGGTGAAGAAATGTCTCATCTCCATCTAAATCATCCACCCCGAATCCTCATACTGTGACCCCTGGTTCTGGACACACCCACCATCAGGAACACCCTCCCTGCATCTACCCTGTCCAGTCCTATTAGAATTTTTTATGTCTCTATGAGATCCCCGCTCATTCGTCTGAACTCGAACAAAAACAATCCTAATCTAGCAATCTCTCCTCATACGTCAGACCCACCATCCCCAGAATCAACCTGGTAAACTTTTGCTGCACTCCCTTGAGAGCAAGAGCATCCTTCCTCAGAAAACAAGACCAAAACTGCCCACAGTGTTCTAGGTGTGGTCTCACCAAGGCCCTGTGCAACTGCAACAACACATCCCTGTTCCTGTACTCAAAATCTCTCACAATGAAGGCCAACATACCATTTGCCTTCTTTACCACCTGCTGCACCTGCAATGCTTACCTTCAGCGACTGGTGCACAAGGACACCCAGGTCCTGCTGTACGCTCCCCTCTCCCAATTTACAGCCATTCAGGTAATCTGTCTTCTTGCTTTTGCTTCCAAAGTGAATAACCTCATATTTATCCAATTTATACTGCACCTGCCATTGATTTGCCCATTCACCCAACCTATCCAGATGATGCTGAAGGATCTCTGCATCCTCGTCACAGTTCACCCTCCCACCCAACTTGGTATCATCTGCAAACTTGGAGATGTTACATTTTGTTCCCTCATCCAAATCATTAATATATATTGTGAATAGCTGCGGTCCCAGCACCGATCTCTGTAGCACCCCACTAGTTACTGCCTGCCAATTTGAAAAGGACCCATTAATTCCTACTCTTTATTTTCTCTCTGCCAACCAGCCTTCTATCCATCTCAATGCACTTCCTCCAATCCCATGCACTTTAATCTTGTACAATAATCTCTTGTGTGGGACTGCGAAAATTTTTTTTTGTAAGTCCAAATATACCACATTGACTGGTTCCCCCTTGTCAACTCCAGCAGTTACATCTTCATAGAATTCCATCAAATTTGTCAAGCATGATTTCCCCGTCATTAATCTATGCTGACTCTGTCTGATCCTTGCTCTGTGTAAATTGGTTGCAACCTTTTCCTACATTACAGCAGTGATGATATTTCAAAAGTACTTCAGGATCTGGGAAGCACTTGGAGACGTTCAGCGGCTGTGAATGACACTCCAGAATCAAAAGCCCTTGTTTGAATGTCTGGAAACCTGGATATCTTACACACTCGACCCACGTGTTAATCAGTAAATTCAACCAAGGTCCAATTGTCTACAATAACCACCTTTAATAATCTTGTTTATGATATTTCAAAGTGAAAATCTAAACACATTATGTCCAAAACTTTCTTTTCAAAGCTCCCAGAGATGAGATTTGGAATTCACTGCCTGAAAGTGAGCTCAAAGAAAGTTCAGTTGTGTCCTTGAAAAGACAGAATCTAGAGAGCAAATGAAAACTGACAGCCTACGGGAGCTTAAGTCAGGAAACTTCCTTACTCATCGGAACTGCCTCATTTTAAATGCCCTGAATATTACCATCTTCAATCAGGGGGAATGGAGGAGGGGGATAGAATTGGATTCATTGCCCCCAGAATTGGAGATAGGCAGCCAACCGGGTGTGTGTTGAGACGTGCTGGCTAAAAGACCTGTCTCATTTCTCTGGAGTATGCTCAACACCTTGGCTTGGATCTCTGAGACTTGGTCTCAGTTGTAATGCGACCTTTCATGATCTCCAGTTCTCAGCAACAGATACACCAAGTTTCTTCACCACGTCCCATTAAAAAGAAAGTAATCATTTTGAATAACTACCCAGGCACCTTGGACACAATTCCTCCCAGCTTTGTATTTCTCTGACTGCAAGCGAGTCCGCGAGGGAACATTTCCCGTAGAGAGACACCCTCACATTCCTCTCCATAGACTCCTCGACGCCAATCTGTTCCATATCACAACCCTAGATGGCCCCTTATTTCTTCACCTACAAACCATCCTAACTCTTTGCATTAGTCCACTTACACCCTCCAAATCGGTGGGAATGTGCATTCTCTGCCCCAATGCACTCCAGGCCCCTCCTCGATCCCCCGCAGTCAGAACGAACGCGGTTCAGTGCTGACCGTGATCTTCAGCGGGATCCAAGCCCGGTAACTGATTGTGGACTCGCTGGTGCCTCAGCAGGTGGGCTGACCGAGTGAAGCCCTTCCCGCACTCGGAGCAAGTGTACGGCCTCTCCCCGGTGTGGACCCGCTGGTGGGTCAGCAGGTTGGACGACTGAGCGAACCCCTTCCCGCACACCGAGCAGGTGAAAGGCCTCTCCCCGGAGTGGACGCGCCGGTGCTGCGACACGGCAGACGACTGAGCGAATCCCTTCCCGCACACGGGGCAAGTGAAGGGCCTCTCCCCGGTGTGGAAGCGCCGGTGTCTCAGCAGGTGAGACAACTGAGTGAATCCCCTCCCGCACTCGGAGCAGGCGAACGGCCTCTCCCCGGTGTGAACCCGCTGGTGAGTCAGTAAGTTGGACGAATCTCCAAATTCCTTCCCGCACTCCAAGCAGGCGAACGGCCTCTCTCCGGTATGAACCCGCTGGTGCGTCAGCAAGTGGGACGACTGAGTGAACCCCTTCCCGCACTCGGAGCAGGTGTACGGTCTCTCCCCCGCATGGGCTTGCTGGTGTTGCAGCGCTGCGGACGACCGGGTGAAGCCCTTCCCGCACACGGGGCAGGAGAACGGCCTCTCCCCGGTGTGGACCCGCTGGTGGGCCTGCAGGCTGCACAGCTGAGTGAACGCCTTCCCGCAACCGGAGCAGATGAACAGCCTGTCCCTGGCGTGAACCTGCCGGTGCCGCATCACGGCCGACTGATGAGTGAAGCCCTTCCCACACAGAGTACAGTTGAATGGCCTCTCGCCCGTGTGAACTCGCTGGTGCGTCTGCAGGCTGCACAACTGAGTGAAGCCCTTTCCGCACATGCAGCAGGTGAACGGCCTCTCTCCCGTGTGAATCCGCCGATGGGTTTCGAGTGCAGACGGAGAACAGAAAGCCTTTCCACAGTCCTCACATTTCCATGGTTTATTCATGGTGCTGCTGTCCTTGCGTCTGTTAAAGTTTGGACATCAGCTGAACCCTTGCCCACACACGCATGCATATGATCTCTCTTCACTCTATATGGTGCAATGTCTTTTCTGTGCAACTGGTTAAAGCTCTTTCCAAAGTCAGTTCGCTCACCAGTCACACTCAGGTGGTGTGACTTGGTGTTTTAGACAGTCGCATTGATGTTTGCAATCTCGAGAAGCAGACAGAACACGCACACTTTCTCCTTCTCAATTCAAAGGTCGATGCTATTCTGGTCCTGCAGAACTGAATGAGTTTCTCAAATCTTGGCTGGGTTTGAGATTTCTGTCTGCATGTCTCCCCTTCTTTTTTAATATCCTGTAAAAGCAGTTTACAAAAATCATGACTGTCAGTACAGGATAAAAATTCAGAACAGACTGTCAATTTCTGTGGATTGTTCTTTCCTTCCTCGTTACTCAAAAGCTGTGAACCTCCAATCCACTCAGTGTTTCTCTGCTGTCCCTAATATACATTGTCCCCACTTTCCTGATCCTCCACACCCAGGCTCTGTTTCTCTTGCTCCATAAATCACATATCCTGTCTCTCCTGCTGCTCCAGCTTCACCAATCTCAGATTCCGTTTCTCGCACTCTTGTCGCTTTTCAAGAGATAGAATGTGTAATCGGAGCAATAGGCAGAGAGAGCAAACCTCTGCCTGGATAAGATGGAAGACTAACTCTGGCTGTTCATGGACCAAACCTGGAGCTGCAGCGAAAGGTCTAAACCCATCAGCATCTGGACTAACTATTTGCTGAAGAGGGCCTGAGTGCCAGTGAGGATGGGGTTGTGCAGCACAGCCTAAGAGTCAGACCAGGGAGATGAGGAACCAGGGTGAGGAAACTGAGACAAAGTTTTGACCATACAACAGGAGCTCATTATGTGGGTGTACCCGTCTGAAATGAATATTCTCCAGAAGAACTCTGTTTCTTCCTCCATCAATATTGCCAGTCATGCCGAGTTTCTCCAGCACAGTTGTATTTCAGATTTCTAGCATCCGCGTTATTTTGCTTTTAAACAAGGCCACATCTTACTGTTTGTTAAGGATTTTGCTATCCTCCAGCTGAGGAAGGAAAGGAGGTCAATGTCCTGAACAAATAGCACGATCTGGGCTAATCTTTCCAGCGTCTGCACCCTACCTGGATTCACTTTCCCTTTCAGTTCGTGAAAGTCAACAACGTAATTACAGAATGAAAAGAGAGGGGAGAAAAAGACAAGTGTTGTGCTCACAAGATGTTGGACGGAGGAGGAAGTTGCTGTCTGGGGTGAAGCTCAGTCTGCATTCAGAGAGAGAGGAGCAGCAGCAGCGGCTTTGCCGAGAAGCTTCAAAAACGTATTGTCCAGGGTCTGCATTCAGACAATAGGGCAGCTCTGACTGGTTGGAGGACATGAGTGCTTCCGGTCCTCCGAATCTTCCCATTGGTCAATTGCAATGAATGGGGGTGAGGAGCAGCCAGTAGGAATCGCAGTGCTCGGCGGCGACGTCCTTGGCTTCCAGGCGCGCGGGCGTGGGAGTCCTCAAGCAAAGGTTTCCAGGGCAACCGGCTCAGGCCAGCGCGAGAAGCATCTCGGGGAGCTGCCCCTCTCTCCCGGCGACTGCAACGCCCCAGAGACAGAGCGAGCCCCGCCCACTAGTGGCCACTGCGCCTGCTCCGGATTCCAGAGCCAGCAACTGCGCCTGCTCTGGACAGAGGGACCCGCACCACGGCTGCGCGCTGATTATATCGCCACCTACCGGAGGGGAGGGGAATGGCACACTGCAAAATCCCTTCCTTTCATTTTCTTTCTCTATGTAGTGATGATCTAATGGAAATCTGAAAAATACTTGAAGGGATAGACAGGGTAGATGTAGGTATGAACTCAGGAGATTTTTTTTCTACTATAAATCTTTGAAATTCTCAATGACAGACGGCTATGGTTACTCATTGCATTGAACAGATATTGACAGATAACTGATTACCAATGATGCAAAGGGTTATGTGGATGCTGTGGGTAAAAGGCATTGAAATGTTCAATCAGTTGTGATTAGAGGTTTATAAAATCATGGGGCATGGATAGGGATGAATAGCCAAGGTCTTTTTCCCCAGGGTAGGGGAGTCCAAAACTAGAGGGGGTAGGCTTAAGGTGAGAGAGGAAAGATTTAAAAGGGACTTAAGGGGCAACTTTTTCACACAGACGGTGGTGCGTGTTTGGAACAAGCTGCCAGAAGACGTGGTGGAGGCTGGTACAATTACAACATTTAAAAGGCATCTAGTTGGGTACATGAATAGGAAGGGTTTAGAGGGATATGGGCCAAATACTGGCAAATGGGACTAGATCAGTTTAGGATATCTGCTCGGCGCAAATAAGTTGGGTCTGTTTCCATGCTGTATAATTCTGTGACTCTATATTAAATGTCAGAGCTGGCTTGAGAGGCTGAATGGCTTACTCCTGTTCTTCTAAGTCAGGCAATTTAAGTTGAAACAGCACAGGATTTCTTTCTAGTTTCGCACTCACTAAATCTTCATTTGTCCAATGCGTATCAGCAAAAACACTTTCTTCCCCTGGGATTACAGAGAATTGTGGTGCTCGGAAGCTGAGGGAGAAATGCTGGGAATATCGTCTTTATTGCATGACTAATTCTGCTCCTGTTTTTGGTGATCTGATGATCTCTGTGTGTCCAGGACAGGAAGAGGTAAGTTTGAATTCATCAAGGAGCATAAATCAGCAATTTCAGGAGTGGGGAAGGTGTACATTAGGGACAGCAGAGTGAGAGTGGAGGGTGAGTGTGTGGGATGGACAATGACACATCTTGGAGAAAGAAAGAGGAAAGCATGTTCCACAGAAACTAGAATTATCTACTGAATCTCTATACTTTACTGACAGTGATGACTTTTGTAATCTCTGTCTACAGGATATTGGAAGGAAGGGTCGAAATTGCAGAAAGAAATCTCAAATCAGACATCCAGTCCTGATTTGATCGAGCCACTTGATTCATTGGGACCTGAATGTCATTGGCCTTTGAATTTTGAAGGAGAAGTATTTGTCTGTCTGTCCTCTTGGAAAGAATTTAAATATCAATGTGACGGGAGAAGCACCAAAACACTCGCACACCTCACCCCCACCCCAGGTGAGTGTGTTCCAGAGCTTTAGATTACTTTGCAGCTGATATAAACATCACACCATTGACAGTGGATGCAGGTCTGTATTCTTTATCCATTCAACTGATCATTCAGTGGAGATAAATGCAAAGGTGCTATGGTGAAGCCATGGAAATGTGGGGATTGTACAAAGGAATTTCGTTCCCCATCTGAGCTGGAAGCCCATCGGCGCAGTCACACCGGGGAGAGGCCCTTTACCTGCTCCGTGTGTGGGAAGGGATTCAGCAAGTCATCCACCCTGCAGACACACCAGCGGGTCCACACCGGCGAGCGGCCTTTCACCTGCTCCGAGTGCGGGAAGGGGTTCAGTCACTCGTGGAACTTACAGACCCATCGGCGGGTTCACAGCGGGGAGAGGCCATTCACCTGCTGCGAGTGCGGGAAAGCCTTCAGTCGCTTGTGCAGCCTGCAGACGCACCAGCGTGTTCACACCGGGGAGAGGCTGTTCATTTGCTCGGAGTGCGGGCAGGGATTCACCGACTCGTCCAACCTGTGGAAGCACCGGCGAATTCACACAGGGGAGAGGCCATTCATCTGCTCCAGGTGTGGCAAGGGGTTCGGTGACTCATCCCATCTGCTGACGCACCAGCGGGTCCACACAGGAGAGAGACCGTTCTCCTGCTCTGTGTGTGGGAAGGATTTCACTCAGTTATCTAACCTGCTGACCCACCAGCGAGTTCACACCGGAGAGAGGCCGTTCACCTGCTCTGTTTGTGGGAAGGGATTCACTCAGTTATGCAGCCTGCAGAAACACCAGCGAGTTCACAAGTGATTACAGAGTTGGATTCTGATGTTACTACCTCCCTGAACCATGTTCAGGAACCATGTTTATTCTGAGAATGTGAAATGGAAATGTCAAAGACTTCCTTTCAACCAGACCACCTGGAATCATGACTTTGCTTCTAATGGGGCTAATGCTGTTTGAGTCTTACTGTAAAAGTTTCATACTTCATATGGTTTAAAAACATTACTGTAATATTCCGTTTGTATTTCTATTTGGATCCTCCCAAAGCATGCCACATTGCCATAGAGATGGGCTGTTGCGGGGGAGAAGTGGTTTAGAAGCTACTTTTGTTTCATTTCTCTCCCAGAAGACAGTTCTAGATTTGACCTTGCATAGTTTGCAGTTCACTTGAACTTTGTGTAAGGGGGAGAGAACCTCAACAACTAGAAGTTACAGGAGGAAATCTCCAGCAATCCCCATGAAGCCTAGTGGAAGAAAGCAGTCAGTTTGTAAAGAGCTGTACAGCAGCTCACTGGGACAAATAGTCTGTTCACAGTCAGCACAGGACTAATCAATAAAGTTAGATCAGATGGGATTCAGGATGAACTTGCCAATTGGGTACAAAATTGGCTTGACAGCAGGAGACAAAGGGTGGTGGTGGAGGGTTGTTTTTCGGACTGGAGGCCTGTGACCAGCGGTGTTCCACAGGGATCGGTTGCTGGGCCCACTTTTGTTTCCCATTTATATAAATGATTTAGATGAGAATATAGAAAGCATGGTTAGGACGTTTAAAGATGACACCAAGATTCGAGGTACAGTGGGCAGTGGACGGTGAAGGAGGTTATCTAAGATTACAAAGAGATCTTGATCAGTTGGGTCAATGGGCTGAAGAGTGGCAAATGGAGTTTAATTTGGATAAATGCGAGGCATTGCATTTGGTAAAACAAATAAAGGCAAGACTTATCCAATTAATGGTAGGGTCTTGGGTAGTATTTTAGAACAGAGAGACCTAGGAGTTTAGGTACATAATTCTTTGACGTTTGCATCACATATAGATAGAGTAGTTAAGAAGGCATTTAGCACGCTTGCCTTCATTGCTAAGACCTTTGCATATATGAGTTGGGATGTTGTGTTGAGGTTGTGCAGGATGTTGGTGAGGCCTCTTCTGGAGTACTGTGTCCAGTTCTGGTTACCCTGTTATAGGAAGGATATTATTAAGCTGGAGAGGGTTCAGAAGAGATTTATCAGGATGTTGCAGGGTATGGACGGTTTGAGTTATAAGAAGAGATTGGATAGGCTGTGATATTTTCACTGGAGCATAGGAGGTTGAGCGGTAACCTTATAGAGGTTTATGAAATCATGAGGGGCATAGATGATGTGAACGGCAGGTGTCTTTTCCCTAGGGTGGGGGATTTCAAGACAAGGGGGCATGTTTTTAAGGTGAGAGGAGAATGATTTAAAACAGACATGAAGAGCATTTTTTTTTTACAAAGAGTGTGGTTTGTGTGTGGAATGAACCTCCAAAGGAAGTGCTGGATGCAAGCACAGTTATAACGTTTAAAAGTCATTTGCGTAAGTTCATGAATAAGAAGTGTTTGGAGGAATATGGGCCAAGCGCAGGCAGGTGGAAGTTGTTGGTTTGGGACTATTATTGGCATGGATTGGTTGGATCGAAGGATCTGTTTCCGTGCTGTGTGAACCTAAGAAGATAGTGGAATCCCCACAGAGGGAAAGAGCTCTGGATGTTTCAGTGCCAGACTGGAAAAATGGAGAAAAAATTGGAGTAAATTCCAGAGCGCTGTGACATAACTTTGGCTGGTCCCTAAAGAAGGTGAATAAACCTTCAAGATTTTGTAAGGACAAACTCCTGGGGGTCGTGAGTGGGAGACATGTAAAAGTCAAATTGGATTCAGACCATATGTAGATATATATATATATATCTGCAGTGTTAAGGTTGTAGTGTGTATTCTGTTTTGTATTTTGTTATAGTTTAAAAATATGGTATAGTTCTTTTCAGTTAGTTACTCAATGTTCAGATTCCTCTTTAATTATTAACTTTCCCTTCCTCTATTGTAACATCTTAGTTTGCTCTCTGGGGAAGAAAATTGCCCAGAGTCTGTCAGGCCCCACAGAGCAAGGCAGCAGGCTCAGAAAATGAATTTGAATTGAATCATGTGTTGTCACGTGTATTTAATATAAAACATAGTGCAAAGCTTAAACCATCGCCATGTACCGGCGCCATTTTGAGTAAATTAAACGTTAAAAACAGATAATTAAACAAAAGATAACTTAAAGAGAGTCCAACTTTCTACCATCGATAGCCAGATCCTCGACTCTGCCGCCATAGTCCCGCTCCTGGCTCACCAGCTGGCCAACGCTGTAGCCATTTTGCTGCCAGGACTTGGGCCTACAACGCTAAAGTCACCTCTGAAGCCGCTGCCGCTCTGGGCCTCATCAAAACCACCTTCCTACCAACCGAGCTCTCCTGAGAAGGTAAGTGGAGCTAAAGCTAAAAAACGAAAAAGAGAAAAGAAGAAGGAAGAAAGGAAGGAAACCGCACAAGTGGAGCCTGGATGCTAACTACTCCTCCACCACCATCTTGGAAACCAAATAAGTCCATGTTCGTGTTACAACAAGGGACAACTTTGCGTATTCAGGGTTTTTGTTTGTCCCAGGGATTGAGCCAGTGGTTGCAGATCAGAACAAGAGTGTTTGAGAAACTTGTCCAGAGGATATCAGTGTCGCCCCTTCTCTGATTGTTCTTGTTAAGATGGTTGGTGAGCCCACCATCTTGACCCACCACAGTCCATCTGGCTCGACCTGTGCTATCTGGTACAAGTGAGTGTCTTCCTGCACCTTTGCAGAGGGAGGCTCAAGGGTCAACCACCTTTCTATGAGTCTGGAGTCACGTGTAGGTGAGCAGGGTTAAGATGTCTGGCTTTCTCCAACTGAATGCCACAATGGACACAGAACTTTAAAAACTTTCAGCCCTCAGTGAGGGCACTTCTCACAGAAACCCTACAGTACGGAAGCAGGCCATTTGGCCCATTCAGTCCATGCTTATGCTCCAAACAGCATCCCACCCAAACCCACCACTACTACCCTTTCCCTGTATTTCCCATGGCTAACTCACCAAGCCTGGACACTATGGGCTATTTAGCATGACCAATCCACCTAACCTACACATCTTTGGACTGTGGGGGGAAAACAGAGCACCCAGACATGGGGGGAGGTGGGGTGGGGGGGAAGAATGTGCAAGATGGTTGCCTGAGGGTCGAATCGAACCCAAGTCCCTGGCATTATGAGGCAGCATTGTTAACCACTGAGCCACCATGCTGCCCCATCTCATATGAATCGTACAGTTAAGTCCCTGATCCTGAAACTGCCCCTTTGTCTCCAGCCCTCCGATGGTTTTCTAGATTCCCCAGTCCTTGGTGAAACCACCTCAGGCTGACTGCTCCTCAGACATTGGCTGCACCACTTGCCAGTTGAAGTGAGGGGTCTGCATTTTTACTGAGGAAGTGTTGGCTGCTCAACTATAGCAGGGTGGCCCTGTGGTTAGCACTGCTGCCTCACAACGCGAGGGACCCAGGTTCGATTCCACCCTCAGGCGACCCTCTGTGTGAAGTTTGCACATTCTCCCTGTGTCTGCATGGATTTCCTCCGGGTGCTCCAGTTTCCTCCCAGAGTCCGTAGATGTGTTGGTTAGGGTGGATTGGCCATGCTAAAGTATCCAGGGATGTGCAGTCCAGGTGCATTAGCTGTGCAGAATGCAGGGCTAGGGGAATGAAGTGGGATGCTCTTCAGAGGGTCAGCATAGACTCGATGGGCCAAACAGCCTGATTCCACACTGTAGGGATTCTATAATTCTGTGACTTCATGCTGTCCACAATCAATGTCTGGCCCCAAATTGCCACCCAGCTAGGGGATTAAAGTGAGGACCAGACGAGTGACACTGAGTCCAGGTCTGCTGCCCCCATCCCATTCAGACTGATCTATTTCATTCAAATATCCATCCAGTTTTTTTTTTATTAAATATAGACTGCCTCCACTTAGAATCCATACAGTGTGGAAGCAGGCCATTTGGCCCATTTTGTCCACACTGAGCCTCCAAAGAGCATCCCATCCAGACCCACCCACCCACACTATAGCTCTGCATTTCCTGTGGCCACTCCACCCTAACTTGCACATCTTTGGACTGTGGGAGGAAACTGGAGCCCGCAGAGCAAACCCACACAGACATGGGGGGAAGAATGTGCAAACCCCACATGGGCAGTCACCCGAGGATGGAATTGAACCCGGGTCTCTGGTGCTGTGAGGCGGCAGTGCTAACCACTGAGCCACCATGCTGCCAACATTAGTGATTCACCCCACCTTCCTTATCTTAATCATGATACAGTTCTGTGCATTACACATTTTTAATCCAGTCATAGAGGCACGGTTACAGATTCATACAGTCAGACAATCATACAGCACGGAAACAGACCCTTTGGTCCATCAGTCCATGCTGACAATAATCCCAAACTGAACCAGTCTCACCTGCCTGCTCCTAGCCCATTTCCCTCCAACATTTCTTATTCATATACTTATTCAAATGTCTTTTAAATGTTGTAACTGTATCCACATCCACCACTTCCTCTGGAAGCTCATTCCACACGCGAATCACTGTCTGTGTAAGAAAATTGCCCCTCATGTTTTCTTTTGAATCTTTCTCCTCTCACCTTAAAAATATGGTTCATAGTCTTGAAATCCTCCATCCTAGGAAAAAGACATCTGCCGTTCACCTTATCTGTACCCTTCACTATTATATAAGGTCAGGACTTTTATATAAGGTCAACTCTCAACCACCTATGCTCCAGTGAAGTAAGTTACATTATTTTAGCCAACTGCGTGATGTTTTCCAGGTCTCTGTGTCCAGAACAGGAAGAGGTAGGCATGAATCTGTTACTCAGTCATCCGCCCTGCTGAGACACCAGCAAGTTCTCACTAGCGAGAGACCTTTTAAATGCCCAGAATATGAGAAAGTGCAATTGAAGTTTGAGGAACTGATGTACGATCAACGTGTTCACACTGATAAGACCATTTAGATGCTTCCTACCTTTGCACCAGCCCATTGGACATAACTGCCTCTAAAGATCCCCGTTATCTGAGCTCTGAATCTGCATTTTTCTCTGGTTTCCCTCGTTTTTCACATCATGCCCTTGCAGAGACGATCTTGTCCAGGAGACCTGCTTTCTACCTCCCTGAGACTTTTTACACTAAATTGCTGATCTCCCGACATATCCAAGTTCATAGGGTCATAGTATTGTACAGCACAGAAACTTGTCCATGCCAACCAGAAATCCTGAATTAATCTAGTCCCATTTGCCAGCATTTGGCCCATATCCCTCTAACCCCTCCCTATTCACGTACCCATCCAGATACCTTTTAAATGTTGTAATTGTACCAGCCTCCACCACTTCCTCTGGCAGCTCATTCCATGCATGTACCACCGTTTGCATAAGGAAGTTACCCCTCAGGTCCCTTTTATATCTTTCTCCTCTCAACTTAAGCTTATGCCCTCTAGTTTTAGACTCCGCTACCCTGGGTACAAGACCTTGGCCATTCACCCTTTCCATGCCGGTCATGTTTTAATAAACCTCCATAAGGTCACCCCTCAACATTGGACACTCCAGGGAAAATAGCCCCAGCCTATTCAGCCTCTCCCTGTAGCTCTAAGCCTACAACTCTGGCAACATCCTTTTAAAACTTTTCTGCACCCTTTCAAGTTTAATGACATTTTTCCTATAACAGGGAGACCAGAATTGAATGCAGTATTCCAAAAGTGGCCTCACCCAATGTCTTGTACAGTCACAACATAACATCCCAACTCCTATACTGACCAATAAAGATAAGTGTACCAAATGCTTTCTTCACCACCCTGTCTACCTGTGGCTCCACGTTCAAGGAACTATGAACCTGCGACCCAAGGTCTCTGTATTCAGCAACACTCCCCAGGACCCTACCATTAAGTGTATAAGTCCTGCCCTGGCTTGTCTTACCAATATTGAACTCCTCACATTTATCTAAGTTAAACTCCATCTGCCACTCCTCAGCCCGTCTGATCAAAGTTTTCTGCCATTGTGACTCGTTCTCCCTCCAAAAGGTGCTCTCCCTCTCTCCTTCATGTCAGCTATTGCCACCTCTTCCTCAAAAAATAAACAAACCCTCGTCCCTACTGTCTTTTGCAAAACACATGCTCCATCTCTGACACCTCCCTTTCCTCTCCAAAGTCCAGAGACATTTTCTCCCTTCCCAAATCTGCAGCCATCCTCCCCAAAACTCCAAGTTTGAATCGCTGATCAGGTTTCTGCTCCCCAACCTCCCCCCCCCCCCCTCCCCCCACCCCCACATACACATTTATCAAAATCACAGATTACATTCTCGGAGACTGAAACCGAAGAAGATTAGTCCTCCTTGATTTTTCTCAGCTTGCCTGCAGGTTCTGACATTGTCGACCACACCATTCTGCTCTACTGTTGTCTGGCTAGGTGGGGCTGCTCTCTTCTACCTCACCACAGCCAAAGTTTCAGTGGCAATATCTCTGCTCCCCATTCCCACATGTCCCCAATGGATGCAGCTTTGGCCTGCTATTATTTCTCAACCAGATACTTCCAGCCATGGCACCATCTCAAAACGTAATGGGCAGCGTTGGTTGTCACATGTACACCGCCAGCCCTATCTCACCACCACCTCTCCGCATCTGTTCATTATCAGACGATTTCCAATGATATCCAGAGGTGCGTACGCAACTCCTGCTGGATCCTGGAGATCACAACAGATCAGGCAGCTTCAATGGACATTCATCAAGCTGACGTTTTGAGTCTAGATGACACTTCATCAGAGCTGACTTGAAGTGTTAGGCAGGGTGGGGGGTAGGTGTGGTGTTGGAGAAAGGACGTTGACAGAGCAGATGAAGGGATCAGAATGTGAGAATGGCAGAATAATGGTGTGTCTAACTTTGCCGAACTGGAAAGAACAGACAGTCCCACTGGAATGGTGGGGGGGAACGGCGGGAGAAAGGACAGGGTGACAGAGAATGTGACAGACAACAAGTAAAGCTAAAAGGAAGGGAAGGAATGAGAGCTGGTGTACAATTTGAAAGTGTTGAACTCAATATTCATAGGATCCCTACAGTGCAGAAGCAGTCCATTTGGCCCATCAAGTCCACGCTGACCCTCCAAAGAGCATCCTACCCTATCCCTGTAACTATGCATTTCACATGGCCGATCCACGAGCCTGCACATCCCAGGATGCTAAGGGCAATTTAGAATGGTCAGCCCACCTAACCTGCATATCTTTGGACTGTGGGGGGAAACCATTGCACCCAGATGAAACTCACTTAGACACGGGGAGAACATGCAAACTCCGCAAAGACAGTCACCCGAGGCTGGAATTGAACTCGGGTTGCTGGTGCTGTGAGGCAGCATTGCTAACAACTGGGGCACTGTGCCACCAGAAGGTCCAGAAAGTTGTGAAGTGCCTAGTCTGCAGATGAGATGTTGTTCTTCCAGTTAGCACTGTGATTCACTGGAGCATTGCAGCATGCCGAGAACATGACAAGTGGTCATGCGAGCAGAATGCTGTGTTAAAATGACCAGATATGGAAAGTCGGGCATGTGCTTGCGCACAGTCCAGAGGTGTTCTGCAAAGTAGTCACCCAGTCTGAATTTGCTTTCTCCAATATAAAGTAGGCCACATTGGGTGCAGCAAATACAATACACAACATCGGAGGAGGTACAGGTGAAATGCTGCTTCACCTGGAAAGACTGTTTAGGCCCTTGTATGGTGAGCAGGGAGGAGGTGAAGGGGCAGGTGTTGCAATTTCTGTGGTTATGTGGGAAGATGTTGTTGGAAAGGCGAGTGGTGTTGGTGGTTGAGAAATGGACAAAGGTGTCACGGTGAGAATAGCCTCTGTGAAATGCAAATGGGGGAGTGAGGGGAAGATGTCTTTGGTGGAATCAGTGGCTTTGTAGTGGAACCTTCTGGACTTCATGTTGGGTTCAACATCTTCAAATTGTGAACCAACTCCCATTCCTTCCCATCCTTTCAGCTTTACTTGTTACATTCTCTGTCACCACGTCCTCTCTCCCCTTACCAGTGGTTCTGTCCGTTCTTTCCAATCTGGCAAAGTTAGATACACCATTCTCACATTCCGATCACTTAATCTGAACTATCAACATCCTTTCTCCCCCAGCACTCCGCACTGCACCCCTGTCCCCACACTGTTGCATCAATGCTGACCCCCTTAACACTTCACGTCAGCTCTGATGGAGTCATCTAGATTCGAAAGGTTAGCTTGCTCTCTCTCCCAGGATGATGCAATGACCCGCGGTGATCCTCCAGAATTTGTTGCTTTCAACACAGATTGCAGCATCTGCAGTAACTTGCTCCTGCTGGATCCTCTAGCTTCGCCTTCATTCACTCCGACCAATCCCTCCAACTCGATCTTCCAATCCCGCCCCCCGCTTTCACGCCGGTTGGATAGTGGAACAATCAGTCTTCCAGCCCTGCCCCTCCGTTCACTCCGATTGGTTTGAGGAACAGTCGATCTCCAAGCCCCGCCCCTCTTTCGCCCCGATTGGTGGGATGGCCAGGCCGTCGAGTCCAGCCTTCCAGCCCCGCCCCCTCATTCACTCCGATTGGGTAGAGGACTGGTACGACAAGGATGGTCCTCCAGGCCGGGCACCTTTTCCTATTGGTCCCGTTACGCCGTCAATCACCCGCGTACGCGACCATGCGCAGTGCGTGTCCAAACTGGCTGGCTGGAGATTCGGCGCCGGGGTCAGAGAGCGCCCTTTGGGAGGAGAAGGTAAGGAGCCTGCGGGGTCGGGCTGGGAGGTTACATTAATGCCTAACGAGGGCCTAAAATACGGATTAAAATGCTGCGGTGCGACATTTGGCGTGGCAATGGCTGTCGGGGCTGTTATTGATATTAGACCCGAGTTTGCAGCTGCCACCGTGAGGGGGAGGCTGCCCGAAGAATGTGCAAATTATATTCCCGCCCCTTTGGCTGATTGGTTGGAGGACCGGTCCTGGAGTGGCGTCTGCCTCTTCCCATTGGCCCAGCCTCAATGTCCATTACGTTCCCAGGGTGCAGGGCATGCGCAGTGATTGTGATTGACTGACGCTTTGCTGGTCCCCTCGACGGCCGGTGGAGGGCGTTGGTACCACGTGACGGACCCGCAGACCCAATTGCCGGACCGACAGCTCTCTGGTTTGTCGCTGTGGGATTTCTCCTTCCCTGGAACCCCCACCGGCCATACACCCACCCCTGTCGTGTTGCAGTGACACGATGCTCTTATTCTGACCGCATGCAAGGTGCGGTGATTCAAACAAACAACAGAAACCGCTGGAGAATCTCAGCAGGGCTTCCAGACGTGCTGAGTTCCTCTAGCAAGTTTTGTCTTCTCGCTACTGTCAGGTCTCCAACACCTCCGGTTACTTTTTTTATTTTGCATGGGAAACTAAGTTGGGTCAATCTCGAAGAAATCATACCTTTCGTCAAGGCTGTCTCCCCCTCTCTCTCTCTATGGAGGCTGCCAGACCTGCTAAGTTTCTCCAGCACTTTGTGTTCATTTCAGATTTCAAGCAACCGCAATATTTTGGTTTAATGTGAAGATTTAAACGGATCAAGTGTAGAATGAACGAGGAAGCTGGAGGTGGAGCAATAAAAAGACTGGAAGAGATGGTGAGAAGGGTCTGGATTTCAGCACACTGAAGGAGGGAGAGTACATGGGATACAACTTTACTGCTGTGAGGCAACAAAGGAAAAAAAGACTGTACCACTGAAACTAGAAATGTCTGATCAGAATTTCTGCCGTGTGATTAGACTCAAAAACTTGTTAATACTCCTTTTCTAGGGTATTAAAGCGGATTTGCAAGATCAGAGACTCAGATCATTCTTCAGGTCATGATCAGAGTCAGTGAATGCACGAGGATCAGAATATCGTCAGCTTTGGATGTGGAAGGTGAAATGTTTGTTCTGGTCTATGTGAAATGATTTCAAAGACCAGTGTGATGGAAAAAGCACCACAACGCAAATACTGAAGTAAGGCTGTTCCAGTGCTTTGACTGTGGAAAGAGCTTTAATGAAGTAAATAGTCTGAAAAGAATCACTTTGTTGACAGTTGGGCGAAGCTGTGCGAGTGTGTGTCAACGAGGTCTTCACCCAACCTCGAGGGATAAGAACACAGGCAGCATGGAGAGACCATGGAAGTGTGAGGACTGCGGTAAGGGATTTAAATTTCCTTCCTTGCTGGAAATCCATCGGCGTACCCACAGTGGGGCCAGCGCGGCGGAGAGGCCCTGGAAGTGCGCGGACTGCGGCAAGAGCTTCGACTACCCGTCCCTGCTCCGCAACCACCAACGCAGTCACACTCAGGAGAGGCCGTGGAAGTGCAGCGACTGCACGAGGGCCTTCGCCGACCCGTCGCGGCTGGCCAGCCATCAGCGCGTCCACACCGGAGAGAAACCGTGGCGGTGCGAGGAGTGCGGCAAGCGATTTGATTACCCCTCGCTGCTGGAGAACCACTGCCGCAGCCACACCGGTGAGAGGCCGTGGGAGTGCGACGACTGCGGCAAGCGGTTCAGCTACCGGCACCTCCTGAAGGCCCATCGGCGCCACCACACCGGGGAGCGGCCCTTCCTCTGCTCGGAGTGCGGCAAGGGGTTCGCAAAGGTGGCCTGCCTCATGATACACCAGCGGATCCACACCGAGGAGAGGCCGTTCGCCTGTGCCTACTGCGGCAAGATGTTTCAGAACTCGGCCAAGCTTAACGCCCACCGGCGGGTCCACACCGGGGAGAGCCCGTTCACCTGCTCCGAGTGCGGCAAGGGATTCGCTCAGTCCACCAGCCTGGTGTTACACCGGCGCATCCACACCGGGGAGCGGCCCTTCACCTGCTCCGAGTGTGGCAAGGGCTTCACTCAGTCGGCCAGCCTGGTGTTGCACCAGCGGATCCACACCGGGGAGAGGCCGTTCAGCTGCTCCGTGTGCGGGAAGAGATTCAGGCGCTCCTCCACCCTGGCTGCCCATCGGCGTGTGCACACCGGGGAGCGGCCCTTCACCTGCTCTGCGTGCGGCAAGGGATTCACCCAGTCAGCCAGCCTCATGTTGCACCAGCGGATCCACACCGGGGAGAGGCCCTTCAGCTGCTCTGTGTGTGGGAAGCGATTCAGGCACTCGTCCGATCTCACCGCCCACCAACGCACTCACACCGGCGAGAGGCCGTTCGCCTGCTCGGTGTGTGGGAAGGGATTCACTCGGTCACGCTACCTGCTGAAACACCAGCGAGCACACAAGTGACCGCAAGAGATCAAACTCTGCTGTCACTTGCCACTTTTAATCACCTCGGGACCGAGAATGTATCATGGCAAATAACCCTCAGACAGTCCAATCGCTTTTGCTCCGGAAAACTGACCTCGGATTACTCCGGAAGGGTAAAATCTCTGTAATGTTTGAGGAACACGTGATTAGCTAAGCAAAAAAACAAAGTGAAAGAAGTGGAAAACAGAAACAAGAACAGGAGCTTGCTGGAAAAGCTCAGCAGGTCTGTGGAGAGAAATTAGACTTAACGTTTCGGGTCCGGTGACCCTTCCTCAGAACGTGAAGCTAGCTGTTGTTCAGTTGCAACACAAGTGGAGTTCACTTCTAACCGGACTCTGCTGTCAGACCACATTGTTTGTTACACACGTGAGAAATTTGGTATGTCAGTTTCAGTGCCGATGTGGTGCCAACTACTTAAGGCTGTACATCCCAAAGACGTGCGGAGCATATCAAACAACTTTTGACTGTTTTCAGAAAACAAGGTAGTGGCCATATCCAGCCAGCTGACTCTCGAACGCAGTGTCCAGTGTGAGATGTCATTCTGCAACTCGACAACATTAGCTGAATAATCCTGAGCTTTGTAAAGAATTACGTTGACAACCGACTTTCAGTTTTTCTGTCGTTCTCGTGGCAGCCGTACACTTGCAATTGGCCTCCTAACCTCACTCCTTTTACACTGTTCTTTTTATTTCAACATTGACTGCCTGCCGGGAGACGAAACAACGCACAGGGTGGGGGAATCGGGTCTTTTTGCTGCTGTGGAGATGGGCAGCAGCGATGATCTCCGTTGTCTCCGGCAGGAAGGAAGTTCAGGTTTCCCGGATGCCAACCGGGAAAATGGGACCCCAGTGCGCGGCAAACAATTTGTCGACCCGCCGTGGGATGAAGTGGACCGCGACCAGGGAAGCTGGGGAGAGATTGGAACGAACAGTAAAACGTTGACCCGGTCACTGGCCACAACCGGATCATCTGTTCCCTCGATGGTTCGATTTTGTACTCTCGATCGCTCCACTGCTCTCTGGGTGGTGGAGGACACTGAGAAATTGTTCCAATCTGACAAGGTGACGTGCTGTTACTTCTGCCGTAACTTGCTGCTTTGGGTCATGATGCAATTGCAGCCATTTAGGTAAGTCGAGCCATTAAACTGAACTCGAATCTTTCCCTTCGTACCAGGGAACTGTAGCAGTTCAAAAAGGCAGCTAACCACCACGTTCTCCAGGGGAAACACAGAGGGGAATCAATGCTGGCATACACCGTGTCTCACTGAGGATTTTGATTAAAAAAAGTTCACGGCAGACCTGTGCATTTAACTAGCCAGTGAACTCGTAGCATCTGGTTAAATCCACAGGAGCGGGTGTATCTGTGAACTATCGGACTGGATATCTTTTCCATTCACCTCATGAATTAGTTCATCAGGCTCAGAAAGCTTCACCTCACCTCAAATTCAAGGGGAGGCGATGGCCTAGTAGTATTGTCGCTGGACTGTTAATCCAGAGACCCAAGTAATGGGAACACAGGTTCAAATCCCGCCCACAGCAGATGGTGGAATTTGAATTCAATAAAAAAAAATAACAACCGTGAATCCATTGTCGATTGTTGGGAAAACTCATCCAGTTCACTAATATCCTTTAGGGAAGGAAACTGCCACCCTTACCTGATCTGGCCTACGTGTGACTCCAGACCCACAGCAATGTGGTTGACTCTTAACTGCCATCTGGGCAATAAATGCTGGCCTAGCCAGTGATGCCCTCATCCCGTGAATGAATTTTAAAAAAAGACATAATTCTGACTCTGCCAACAATCATAAAATCTCTGCAGTGTGGAAACTGGTGGTTCAGCCCATTGAGTTTACCCCAACCCTTCGAACAGCAACCCAACCACTCCCATCCCTGTAACCCTGCATTTCCCATGGCTAATCCTCCTAACTTATACATCCCTGGACACTATTGGAAATTTAGCGTGGCCAAACCACCTAACCTGCCCACCTTTGGTGCTGTAGGAAGAAGCCAAGGCACCCAAAGGAAACCCACGCAGATACAGGGAGAACGTGCAAACTCCGCACAGACAGTCGCCCGAGGCTGGAGTAGAACCCAGGGCCTTGGTGCTGTGAGCCAGCAGTGCTAACCACTGAACCACCGTACCACCCCAGTTGGGCACAGTACCCTAGAAAAGACCTCGCCATAGGTTGGACGTAAGTTTAGAATTTGAGAAGATGGACTGTGCTCTTGAGCTGATTAACATGAGAAGCGAGGAGGTATTTGATGTTTCGGCAAATTTAAAAGTGGACATGTGTCCAGGTTGGGATGAGTTGTATCCCAGGCTGCTGGAGACAGAGGAAGGAAGTTACAAGGGCCCTGAACCAAATTTTTAAACCATCCCTGGTCAAGAGGGATGAAAGAGATAGAACAGGGAACTATAGACCGGTGAGTCCAATATCTCAGTGGTCGGGAAACTGTTACAGAAAATAGTGAAGGTCAAAATTAACGTCCATTGAGAGAGGTAATGTTCGATCAGGGACAGTCAGCATGGCTTTCTCAGAGAGGGAGGTCACACCTAACAAATCTGGTGCAATTTTTCAAAGAGGTGACCAAGTGTATGGATGAAGTCAGTGCAGTTGATGTGGTTTATGTGGATTTTATCAAGGCTTTTGACAAGGTCCCACATGGGAAACTGATGAAGACTAGAAAGGTTCATGGGATCCAGCGTCACTTGGCAAGTTGGATCCAAAATTGGTTTAGTGACAGGAGACAGAAGGTGGTAGTAGATGACTTTCAGGGCCCTGTGTGTAGTGTTGTGCTACAGGGATCAGTGCTGGGTCCCTTATCGTTTGTGATATTCATAAATGATGGAGATGAAAAAAGTGGGAAGGATTTATATGAATGATTTTGATGAGAATATAGAAGTCATGATTAATAAGTTTGCAGACAACATCAAAATTCATGGCATAGTAGACAGTGAAGGTTTTCTAAGATTACAAATAGATCTTGATCAAATGGGTCAATGAGCTGAAAAATGGCAGATGGAGTTCAATTTGGATAAATACAAGGTATTTCATTTTGGTACAACAAACAGTAGCAGCACTTATACAATTAAAAGTAGGGCCTTGACTAGTGTTGTATAACAACGGGACCATAGGGTTCAGGTACATAATTCTTTGAAGTTTGCATCATATATAGACAGGGTGTTTAAAAAGGCATTTGGCACACTTGCCTTCATTGTTCAGATCTTTGAATATAGATCTGAACAATAGGAAGGATATTGTTAAGCTAGAGAAGGTTCAGAAGAAGTTTACCAGCATGTTGCAGGGAATGAAGGATTTGAGTTCTGGGGAGAGGCTGGATATGCTGGAACTTTTTTCACTGGAGCATAGGAGGTTGAGGGGTGACCTTTCAGATGTTTATAAAAACCATGAGGGTTATAGATAGGATTAATGATGGGTGTCTTTTCCCAAGGGTGGGGGATTTCAAGATCAGTGGGCGTATTTTTAAGGTGAGAGGAGAAAGATTTAAAACAGACATGAGGGTCACATTTTTTTTAACAAAGAGGGTGGTTCACATGTGGAATAAACTTCCTGAGGATGTGGGTACAGTTACAACATTTAAAAGACACTTAGATAAGTTCATGAATAGGAAAGGTTTGGAGGGATATGAGCCAGGAGCAGGCAGGTGGGACTAGCTTAGTTTGGGATTACGGTCGGCATGGACTGGTTGGACCGAAGGGTCTGTTTCTGTGCTGTATGACTATGATAAATAAGTTTGCGGATGACACAAAGATTGACAGGGTGGTTGTCAGTGAGGAAGAAGGTGTTAGGTTACAGGACAATATGAACCGATTGAGCAGATGAGTAGCAGATGGCATTTAACCCTGACAAATGTGAGGTGATGCACTTTGGAAGAAGGAACAAGACAAGGGAGTACTCAATGAATGGCAGGCCACTAGCAAGCTCAGAGGAACAGGGGAATCTTTGGGTGCTTGTCTACAGATCCCCCAGAGATGGCATAGAGGCATGGAGTTGTACAGCACGGAAACACACCCTTTGATCCAACTTGTCCATACTGACCAGACATCCTAGACTAATCTAGTCCCATTTTCCAGCATTTGGCCCAATACCTCTAAACCGTACATATTCATGTACCCATCCAGATGCCTTTTAGATGTGGTGATTGGCAGGATGGGTTAATAAACTAGTTAAGAAGGCATGTGGGACTCTTGTCTTTATCAGTGGTGGAATAGGTTATAAGAGCTGGGAGGTTATATCAGAGATGGACAGGACTTTGGTGAAGCCACAGCTGGAGCACTGTGTGCAGTTCTGTTCCCACACCATAGGAAGGATGTGATTGTACTGGGGAGGGAGGTGCAGAGGGAGATTCACCAGGATGTAGCTCAGGATGGAGCGGTTTAGCGATGAAAGAGGCTGGATAAGCTCGGGTTATTTCCTTTAGAATAGGGTGGAACCTGATGGAGGTGGATAAGATTATGAGGGGCGTGGATAGGGTGGGTAGGAAGCAGCTCTTCCCCTTAGTCAAAGGGTCAGTAACAAGGTAGAGGGGGGCATCATTTTAAAGTGAAGGGCAACAGGTTTTGAGGGGATTTGAGGAAAAATGTTTTCACCCAGAGGGTGGTGAGCATCTGGAATGCACTGCCTGGGAGGATGGTTGAGGCAGGAAACCTCACAGTCTTTAAAAAGTCCTAGGACGGGAAGTGTCAGAATATTCAAGACTTAGGGCCTGGTGCAGGACAGTATAGGTATAAGTGTATTATTGTAGTATGGACTGGATGGGCTGAAGGGTCTCTTCTGTACTGTTTGATTCTATGAACTCAGCCAGACTTGACACCTTCAGGAGAGGAAAGGGAAGGAAAGCAGTACAGGATGTTGCTGAGGCCACTTTTGGAGTTTTGGGTACAGTTCTGCCATAGGAAGGATATTATTAAATTGGAAAGGGTGCAGAAAAGATTTATGAGAATGTTACCGGAACTGGAGGGTTTGAGTTATAAGGAGAGGCTGGATAGATTTTTTTCCTTGGAGCATCGGAGGCAGAGGGGTGACCTTATAGAAGTTCATAAAATCATGAGGGGCATGGATAGGGTGAATAGCCAAGGCCTTTCTCCCCGAGGTAGGGGAGTCCAAAACTAGAGGGAGTAGGTTTAAGGTGAGAGGGGAAAGATTTAAAAGGGACCGAAGGGGTAACTTTTTCACACAGAGGGTGGTGCGTGTATGGAACGAGCTGCCAGAGGAAGGGGAGGAGGCTGGTACAACTACAACATTTAAAATGAATCTGGATAGGTACATGAATAGGGAAGGTTTAGAGGGAGATGGGTCAAATGCTGGCAAATGGGACTAGTTCAGTTTAGGAAATCTGATGAGCGCAGATGCATTGGACCAAAAGGTCCATTTCTGTGCTGTACAACTCTATGAGTCTATAACAGGCCAGGGTTAACAGGCACCATCTTGGTGAGGGAAGATGGAGTGGGCAGGGGCTTTGTGTGTAAGGGCTGCCATCTTTGTAAGGTCAAGGCGTAACAGCACCCATGCGTGATCGGAAACAGGTCGAGTAAATGATGGCAATGTCTGACCCGAATTTGACAGGGATGCATTTTGCAAACTCATTTTGCAATGGGGTTCGAGGGAGATTCGGGTGCGGGTGGAATTTGCACACTGCAAACTAAATCTCAAACCACGAGTGACATTTCCGAGTTTGGTAATCTACTGTTGCAGGGAGCTGGAGTGTTTGAAGACCACAAGACATTGCTTTCACTCCAGTACTTCCGATGTCTTTTCAACTCCAGGGTCCAGCAGGAAATTTCAACTTTGAAAACGGTGAATCCGAAGTATTTTATTGGCGGGAGTTGCTTATAGAACTGAGTCTAAAACAACAGTAGTACCAACTAATGTAGCTTTTGGTTGCAGAGGGTTGTGTCCTGGTCTTTGGTGTAGGTCCTTTGGCACAGAATGAGTACAGCACAGTAAAAGTCTCACCCTGAACATCCACAAGACAAAGGTGCTCCAGCAACCTGGCCTGGCATTGTGGAGCAAACCCCACCCCCCCCCACCCCGATCATCAAGGTTCGCGGGGAGCCCTTAGAGAACGTTGACCACTTCCAATACTTCGGGGGTGTCCTGTTGGCCAAAGCAGTTATTGACGAAGAGAGACAACAAGGTGCAGGGCTGGATGAACACAGCAGGTCAAGCAGCATCATAGGAGCAGACGAAGAGATGCAGCTTTGCATCCAGCGTGCTAGCGCAGCCTTCGGCCACCTGAGGGCGTTCGAGGACACCAACATCAGATCCGATACCAAGCTCATGGTTTACAGAGCTGTGGTGGTTCCCATGCTCCTCCATGACTGTGAGACGTGGACTGTCTGCAGCAGACACCTTGAGGAGCAGGAGCAGTGCCACCAACACTGCCTGCCCTAGAACCTGTGAATCCACTGGGAAGAAAGATGCACCAACACCGGCATCCTCGACCAGGCCGACACCCCCTGGTATCGAGGCACTGCCCACCCTTGATCGGCTGCGATGCGCTGGGTACATTGTTTGTATGACCGACACGAGACCCCACCCCCACCCCAACCCCGAGCAGGTGCTCTACTCCCAGCTCCGAAACGGCACGCGAGCCCCAGGTGGGCAGAGGAAGCACTTCAGCGATACCGTCAATGTCTCGCTGGGGAAGTGCAGCATTCCCACAGACACTTGGGAATCACTGGCCCGTAGTGGAGGGGGAGTATCCGGGAAGGCGTCGAGCTCCTCGAGACTTGCCGTCGGGGGAATAAAGCGGAAGCCAGGGGAAAACAGCGAAAGGAGCGCGCTGCCACACCAGAGCCCCACCCAACCCTTCCCGTGACTACCTTCCACCCCAAGTGTAACAGAACCTGCAGTAGCTGTATTGGTCTGTACAACCACCTACGGACTCACCCTGACAGTGAAAGAGTGCCATCCTGGTCTGGAAGGGGCGGCAGATGGTGATGATGATGGTGATGAATGAGAGTACCGAAGCAAGCCATTCAAACTATTGTGCCCATTCTAGCTCTCTGAAGAACTAATCAACGCCTCCCACACGTCTGACCTTTCCTTATAACCCAGCAATGGTTTATTTGTTCTCTGAAACGCAGTCAGTTTGAGCTGGAGGAGTTGCTGCTGGCTTTAACCCTGAGAACTCTGTAATCCCGTCAGGCTGAGCAATTTCCGAGTAATTGTTGAGGGAGATATATTCTCGGGGTGATCAATTGCTAAATAGCCACTGCCCATACAATGCTAAAACGTATCATTTTAGATACATGTCATAGAGTGTCACAGCACAGAAACAGACCTTTCGGTCCAAGCTGTCCATACAGACTATAATCCCAAAGTAAACTAGTCCCACCTGCCTGCATTTGGCCCATAACCTTCTGTTTCCTATTCAGGTACCTATCCAAATGCCTTTTAAACACTGTAACTGTACCTGCATCCACCACTTCCTCTGGCTGTTTATTCAACAGATGAAACACACGCTTCATGAAAAAGTTGCCCCTTAAGTCCCTTTTAAACCTTTCTCCTCTCACCTTAAGCATTTGCCCCCTAGCTTTGAACACCCCCACCCGAGGGAAAAGACCTTTGCTAGTCAAGTTATCTGTGCCCCTCAGGATTTTATAAACTTCCACAAAGTCACCCCTCAACCTCCTATGCTCCAGTGAAAAAAGTCCCAACCTATCCTTTATCACTCAAACCCTCCATTCCTGGCAACATCCTGCTAAATCTCTTCTGAACCCTCTCCAGCTTAATAACTTCCTTCCTATAACAGGGCGACCAGAACTGCACACAATACTCCAGAAGAGGCCTCACCAACATACTGTACAACCTCAACATGACGTCCCAAATCCTATACTCTGAGCAATGAAGGCAAGCATGATAAACACCTTCTTAACCACCCTATCCATATGTGATGCAAACATCAAAGAATTATGTACCTGAACCCCTAAGTCTATCTGTTCCACAACAATACCCAAAGCCCTACTTTTAATTGTGTAAGTCCTGCCCTTGTTTGTTTTACCAAAATGCAATACCTTGCATTTATCCAAATTAAACTCCACCTGCCACTCCTTAGCCATTTGACCCAATTGATCAAGATTCCTTTGTAATCTTAGCTAACCTTCTTCCTGGAGTTGATGCAGACTGTCTGGCAGGTTCCCTTCTCTAAGAGATATTCAGGAACCCAGTTGGGTTTTTAACCAGGATCCACATATGTCTGCTGCAAGGTGTGGAATGGCAGAGTTTGGAACGATCTGTAGAAATTCCAGTGGAGTGGTATGTTTACAAAATCTTGTACTGGTGAAGTCATATTTGTTCAAGCTTTTCCTCTTGCACTCTTCAGGACATGGTGGGTGAGTTCAAAACCGGGGGTTGGCGGAGGGGGGCGGCATTTTTTAAGATGAGAAGGGAAAGATTTAAAAGGGACCCAAGGGACAACTTTCTCACACAGAGGGTGGTTCGTGTGTCGAATGAGCAGCCAGAGGAAGTGGTAGATGCAGGTACAGTTACAACACTTAAAACAATTGGACAGGTATGTGAATAGGAAAGGTTTAGAGGGATATGGGCCAAACGTAGGCAACTGGGATTAGTTTAGTTTGGGAAACTTAGTTGGCATGAACGAGTTGGATTGAAGTGTCTGTTTTCATGCTGTGTGTCTCTGACAGTTCACAAGAAACACCAAAGAACAACATATTATACTGCATGAGAAGGGAGTCTGTTTTTTTTTAATAGAACCCCTACTGTGTGGAAACGGGCCATTCAGTCCAACAAGTCCATATTGACTCTCCAGACAGCATCCCAACCAGATTCATTCCCCTCCCCCATCCCTGTAGTCCTGCATTCCCCATGGCTAACCCACTAACCTACACATCCCTGGAACACTACGGGACAATTTAGCATGGCTGATCCACTTAACCTGCACATCTTTGGACTATGGGAGGAAACCACAGCACCCAGAGGAAACCCACGCAGACACGGGGGGGGAACGTGCAAACTGCACACAGTCAGTTGCCTGAGGGTGGAATCGAACCTGGGTCCCTAGCACCGTGAGGCAGCATTGGTAATCACTGAGCCACTGTCCAAGCCTTGATTTATGTTTGCTCTTTAACCTTTTTCAACAATACTCAAGTCATAAGTGATGATTTTATATATATATATGTTAAAAAAAAAGTCTTCCTCTACCCCCGGCCTCGCTCATCTTTCTCCCTATCCCATCGTCACATTCTCCGATCTCTCCCTTGCTTTCCTCCCCCTCGCTCCTGGTCTACAGGCCAGGCTGAATGGCAAATTTCCTTTCCAGTTGGGGTTGTATGACATACGGCACCTTCCCATGGTTACTTCTTCCTTGTCTTGGTTCCCCGAAGGGTCAACGTAAACCCTCAATCCGCTTTTGGACATTTATGGGCTCCCTCTGTCTTTCTTTCTCACTCACTCATTCTGTTTTCGATCCTTTTCACAGGGCATCGGTATTTGTAATTGGTGGAGGGAGCGAAGTCAAACCCAACACCACGTTAGAATAGAATTCCATGGAGTCGGCCAACGGGAATCATCGGATTCTGAACACGGAAGGATCGTACACGTGTTCCCTGCGCACTCGGAGCTTTGACCAACCGTCTGGCCCTGTCGGAACACAAATGCGGTCACCGCGGCCAGGGATGGTGGAAATGTGGAGTCTGCTGGGAGGGGCTGCAAATTCACCGGGCGCTGCCACGCTGGGAAGAGGCCGTTCTCCCACTCTGAGCGCAGCAAGCAATTCGTTGAGTTGTCCCATCTCGTGATACACCGGCGGGTTTCACACCGAGGAGAGATCCTGACTGTGGGGAAGTGCTGCAAAAGCTTCAGGGAGGGAGCTCAAGTCCCACCAGCAGGTCCACACCGACGTCAGGCCTTTCCGGTGCTCCCTGCTGCGGGGCTGGGTTCGACCGATCTTCTCACCTAGTCGCCCACCAGCCAGTCATACAGCACGGAAGCAGACCCTTCGGCCCAACTCGTCCATGCCGACCAGGTTTCCTAACCCAATCTAGTCCTGTTTGTCTGCGCCTGGCCCACATCCCTCTTAAACCCTGCCTGTTCAAGTCCCTGCCCAAGTGTCTTTTAAATGTTGTAGTTGTACTAGCCTCCACTACTTCCTCTGGCAGCTCGTTCCATACACGCACCACCCTCTGCCTGAAAAAGTTGCCCCTCAGGTCCCTTTTAAATCTTTCTCCTCTCGCCTTAAACGTATGGCCCTCTCATTTTGGACTCCCCTACCCTGGGGAAAAAAGACCTCTGTTGTTCACCTTATGTATGCCCCTCATGATTCTATAAACTTCTATAAGGTCACCTCCTCAGCCTCCAACGTTCCAGTGACAAAAGTCCCGGCCTATTTTCCTAACTCAAACTGAAAGCATTTAGGGTCTCTGGTTCTACCGTCAACTCAGCCAGCGATTTCCAGACGCCCACCCACACCCTCTGTAAAAATGTTTTTCCTCATGTTCCCTCTAATCCTCTGCCACTTGACCTCTGGTTTTTGAACTCTGCCGGGGCGACCAGAATTTTACGCAGTATTCCGTACGTGGCCTGACCAATGTCTTGTAGAGCCGCAACATGACATCCCAACTCCTGTACTCAAATGATGAAGGTAAGCGTGCCAAACGCCTTCTTCACTGCCCCGTCTGCCTGTGATACCACTTCCAAGTGATCGCAGGAGCTGGAACGTTCTGTTTACTACACCCAGGACGCAGCCACATTTCACTGAAACGCTGGTTCTGCTGAAATGAATAAAGTCTGGCCCGCTCGCTGGTTTTTGTTCTTTTGGATGGAAGTGAAAATAAATCAGATTTGTGTCAAATGCAAACGCAATGAGCCTTTTCTTTACAAACTATCACTAGACTAGTTCGGGACTGCTGTCTCTCCTGTCTCCTCCAACAGCACGCACAAGGGGGTCACAGGACAGTTTTAATACCAAGACTGAAACAATCCAGTCAGCTGCTTCTGCTACTTCTCTTCCTCCACAGGGACCAACTGTCTCTGAAACTGCACCTTTGCCGATTCCTGAAATTGCACCACTCTCCCGTCTCTCTCCCTTTTTGTTTGATTTCAAAAGTATACCTTATTCATAAAAATCTTTACCTGTGTACAGTCACTGGAGCAGTTCGGTTCTGTACAGTCTTAGCGTACTGAGAACAAACCAACATTGGAGTTTGACTTCCCCGACAGTTCCAAAAAATCCCCAGGCACTTCTGACTTGTACAAGATTATATTTACGTATGCTTCAGGCACGGGGAGGGTCTGATAAATGAATGGACCCCTATTTATCTTCAGCAGGAAGACCTCTTAGTCTTTGCCCACTGCACCTTGGCAACAGCTGCCCCAAGCTTTAGTGCGTCCCTCAGCAGGTAGCCCTGCACCTTGGAATGTGCCAGTCTGCAGCACTCGGTCGGGGTCAACTCCTTGCTCTGGAAGACCAACGGGTTTCGGGCAGACCAAAGAGGGTCTTTGACAGTCCTCCATGGCGCAGTCGGCACCTGTCTCCGGGAACAGACCGTAGAGCACAGAATCCCGCATCAGGGAGCAGTTCGGGACGAACCCCGGCACAAAGCACTGCATCTTTCTCCAGACCTCCTTTTGCAAAGGCACATTCCAGCAGGAGATGTGTGACAGACTACATGCATACCTCTACCCCTGCAGGCACTTTGAGGGTAACGTGCGGTGCTGCAGACCAACTGGCGAACGTACAGGATCTGACGGGCAGCGCCCACCAGCCGAGTGATGTCTTGGTGCTTGTTGGAAAAGTTCTGGCGATGAGGTGTTCTACTGAATGACTTTGACAGTGCACTCAGGGCACCACGTGACAGGATCCACCCTCTCCTTTTCCCCGCAGGGTCTCAAGGATGCAACGTGCTGACCATTTCCTGATGGAACTGTGGTTAAAGGTGATTTTCTTTGCACGTTTCTCCACAAAGGACAGGTAGAGCACGTTGCCACATCAGATCCCATTCTGTCCATGAAAGCCACGTCACACTCCACTATTCCCACCGTCCAAACTCCCCCCGACATTTGTCATGTTGACCATCTGTGTCTCCTGGTTCTATCCCTCTTGTCTTTAAATTGACTGTCATGACCCATCCAATGAACACTTGGCCCCACTGTCCCTTGCAAATTAAAGACCCTCCAATTTTCCAACTACATGATAAAAATATTCATTGGGATGTGGGTGTCACTGGCTGAGCCAGCATTTATTCCTCATCCCTAACTGAACAGAGTTACCCAAATTGGCTGTGGCTCTGGAGTCACGTGTAGGCCAGACCAGATAAGAATGGCAGCTTCCCTTCCTAACAGACATGAGTGAACCAGATGCGTTTTTCCTGACAATCAGCAAAGGATTCATGGTCATCGTTAGACTCTTAATTCTAGATTTTTTCAAATCCAAATTCCACCATCTGCCATGGCGGGATTTGACACTGGGTCCCCAGAGCATTACTGGATCTTTGGAGTAACAGTCCAGCGAAAATACCACTAGGCTGTCACCTCCCTCAAATGTCTGGGATGATGATACGCATGCACCCCCTCTCCTGAGGTGTCCACTGGTCTCTCATGCCAGAAGAGGGGCAGACAGTCAGGTACTGATTTTGATTTGATTTATTGGTGTCGCATGTACCTAAGTACGGTGAAAGCTTTGTTTTGCAAACAGTTCAGGCAAATCATAGCAAACAAGGACATGTACAGATCATGACATAACAAGGTGTAGAGCTGGATGAACACAACAGGCCAAGCAGCACCAGAGGAGCAGGAAAGCTGACGTTTCGGGCCTAGACCCAAAACGTCAGCTTTCCTGCTCCTCTGATGCTGCTTGGCCTGCTGTGTTCATCCAGCTCTACACCTTGTTATCTCACATTCTCCAGCATCGGCAGTTCCTACTATCTCCATATACAGATCACAGGGTGTTTAGACAGAAGCGTACAAGGTTACAGCTGCACATGGACTGCACAAAAGCAAGATCAATATTTGATTTGACGTTAGAGAGGTCCATTCAGCAGCCTAATAACAGCAGGGAAGAAGCTGTTCTTGAACCTGTTGGTCCATATGTTTTAGCTTTTGTACCTTCTGCCTGACGGAAGAGGTTGAAAGAGGTTATAACCAGGATGGGAGGGGTCTTTGATGATGTTGACTGCCTTCCTGCGGCAACGAGATGTGTAAATGGAATCCCTGGATGGAAGGTTGGCTTCCCTGATGGTCTGGGCTGTGCACATCATCTTCCGTAGTTTCTAACTGTCCTGGGCAGAGCAGTTGCCATACCAAGCCATTATGCACCGGGATAGAATGCTTTCCACGTTGCATCTGTAGAAGTTGGTGAAGGTCCTTATGGATATGCCAAATTTCCTGAGCCACCCTGAGAAAGAAGAGGCGTTGTTGTACCTTCTTGACCGTCGCATCTACATACTGTGACCATCCCCTCCATAGCCCGTAGCCTGGACTTGTAAATGGCTTCTTTGGCCAGGCCCAAAAAATAGGGTCTGGCCTGCCCACCCCTCCCTACCATGTGTATCCATAGATTAGGCACGAGGAACTAAAATGCAACCAGCAATTTAAACGCAGGGCCCTGTAAAATAAAACTAAATAGGAACTGCATACTCAAAGAATCAAGGGAAATATGAAAATATGTTGCCCACCCACTACTCCATCACCCCAGGCCACAAAAGCTACACATCGTCTGGCATCCAGTGAACTTAATCTGCAATTGTGTGGGTCATTGTGGTTTCTACCCTGGTCTCAGTCTTCCCCCTACCAGCCCCCTCCAACCCTCACTCAATCTTGACACCAACCCCTCTCCCACCATGATCCTTCCAATCCTTTCAAAGCCCCGATTGTACTATCTCACTGCTACGTTCCCAGAGCTAGTGTTGGTTTCTATAGCTGGTGGTAGCATCTCCTCTGAACTCTGTCTGTGTGTGTGTTAGTGTGTGTGTATGTTTGTGTGCATTAGTGTGGATTTGTTAGTGTGCGTGTGTGTTAGTGCATGTGTTTCTGTGCATTTTGTGTGTATGTTAGTGTGTCTGTGTATTAGTTTGTGTGTGTATGTTAGTGTGTCTGTGTATTAATTTGTGTATGTATGTTAGTGTGTGTGTGTTAGTGTGCCCATGCCTGTGACTGTGTGTGTGTGTGTCTGTGTGGTAGGGGGGGTGCTGGAGCCAGTCTGGATCACTTTGAAATCACTTACCTGTCCAAAGTGATTCTTTTCCTCTCGAGAACAGTTTGCTACATCTCCTGGCCAATAAGTAAACCCGTCGTATCAGGTTTAGAAATGTCTTGTTTCAGTGTCCATGTTAGAGACATAGTGATACAGGCTTAGCTGTGATGGAAGCTTTCTTCAAATGAGACACAGTTATTTCTATAATATTTGACAAATTCTTACAATTTAATGAGGTCATTAGATGGTGATTACTTACAGTCCTTTACTCGGATTAGATTGGTCTCCATTCCTGTGCTGAGGGGATTTCTGTTCTGGCCAGGGGGGTAACATTTGGAGATTCTCGATTCTCCACCAACTCCCGTTCCCCTTTTCCTGGTGAACTGTGGAGGAGCTGCTCTGTGAAAGGTACAGGTTAGTGAGAATTCTCAGCAAGGATACATCAATATCTTCTCATTGGAGATGATGTTAATCAGTGCAACCTTTCAGATGCCAAATTGTACAGTTGGTACCAGTTATCAATTTTGAGTTGAAGTCAAAGTTCAAAATATTGTTGTGAAGTAATATTTGATGAGAATTCCTGAATTATGAGAAAGGTTGCAGACTGCAGTTCTTAAAGGGCTACTACAGTCCTGAGAACATAATCAGATCCAGAATACTGAACTCCAGTCTGGTTAGTAACAAACCCAGATTGTCAGAAGGAAGCTGCTTCACTCCCAAATGTGGATGCGCCGGTAGGCCATAGGTTGGATGAATTAATAAACCCCTTCCCACACAGGAAACAGGTGAACGGCCTCTACCCGGTGTGACTACGTCGGTGGATTTCCAGCAGGGATGGGTATTTGAATCCCTTCCCACAGTCCCAACATTTCCACGGTTTCTCCATGGGCCCTGTTTCTCTCCACAGGTCGGAGGATGAGTCAAAACCTCATCCACGTACGCTATTAATGTACAGTTTCTCCCCACTGTGAACAATGTGTGTTTTTTTCCTCTTTTCGGGCTGTGTAACTGGTTTAAAGTCTTTCTGCAGTCAGTTCACTGGAAAACTAGGGTCTCATTTCTTTTCCAGTCACACCAATGTTTCAGACCTTCTCCCACAGAGAGAAAAACTATCCTCTGTCTATATTGCATAGTCAAGATGAACCAATGACTCTGTCAGGTTGTGATGTGACTTTTGTCTTTGGTTTACTGTCAGCAAATCCTCACCTGACAATATCCTATAAAATGGATTTATAAAAAGTCAATGTCAGTACAAATTCAGGCCAGCCAGTTCCAGTTTCTTTAAGAATCTTAGAACAATTCCTAGAATAATTCGACTTAGACATGTACAGCATGGAAATAGACCCTTTGGTCCAACTCATCCATGCCAACCAGATATCCTAAATTAATTTAGTCCCACTCGCCAGCATTTGGACCTTGTCCCTCTAAACCCTTCCTATTCATGTATCCATCCAGATGCCTTTTAAATATTGTAATTTTACCAGCCTCCGGCAGCTCGTTCTATACACGCATCCCTTAGGTCCCTTTTAAATGTTCCCCCCTGCCTCAACTTAAATCTATGCCCTCGAGTTTTGGACTGCCCTACCCTGGAGAAAAAACCTTGGCTATTCACCCTGTCCATGCCCCTTATGATTTTATAAACCTCAATAAGGTCACACATCAGCTTCCAACGCTCCAGGGAAAATAGCCTCTCCCTACGGCTCAAACAGTCCAACCATGACAACATCTTTCCTGAACCCTCTCAAGTTTCACAACGTCTTTCCTACAGCGGGGAGACCAGAACTGAAGGCAATATTCCAAAAGTGGCCTAACCAATGTCCCGTACAGTTACAAAATGACATCCCAACTCCTATACAGAATGCAATCACCGATAAAGGCAATCCTTTCCTCTCTTTGTCCTCTCAAGCTGTAAATTCACATCCCTCACATCCTCCCTGGGCTGAAATCCAAACTGATCTCCAACATTTCTTTCCTCCACTCCCAGTTTCCTCCCTCCCTCTCGTCTGCCAGTCTCCACCTGTCTGCAGACTGAGAATCAAATCAATGTGGCAAATGAGGCCTGTTTTCCCCAGAATTTAGAAGTTTAAGGGGCGATATGATCAAAATCTTCAAGACATTAACAGAAATTGCCCCTGGTAGGGGATTGTAGAATTGTGAGCACAGTGAGAACTAGGACCAAACTGTTCAGATGTTAGGAAGCACTTTCACACACAAGGAGTGGTGGTGATTTAGAACTCTCTTCCACAAATGGCAGAGTGGATGCTGGATTAATTGTTAAACCTTAAATGTGAGATAGCTGCCAATTGCAAAAAAATGTACTCCAGAAACTCCACCTTCTCTCCCTCACTCACCCGCACTGCGTACGTTCCACATTTCGAGGCGAGGTGGGCACTTGATTGATGGCAGCTCTGGACCAGTAAAAGGAGGGGGCGGTGCTGGAGGACCGAGCCAGCTCGTCCTCCTACCAATCAGAATGAACTTATGACCGTGTTAAGGTGATGGGCTTGGAGGACCAAGTGGGCCCGGCTGGTCCTCCTACCAATCAGAGTGAAGATATGTCTGGGGGCGGAGCTGGAGGTCCCAGCTGGCGCGGCTGGTCCTCCAACCAGTAAGAGTGAATGAGAGGGCGTCGCTGAGCCCAGATATCCCGAAGTTGACTGAAACTGTTGCCTCATTTGGAAACCTGATGTGTCTCAAAAGTTCAGGGGAAAACCTAGACCCCTTTGTTTTATGGCTTTAAACAGATGGAAGCCTGCGGGGATGCAGCAAACATTTCAATGGTTGTGTTTAAATCTTAAACCCAGGCAGTCCTACAGCCCAAAGATGTGCAGGTTGCAAAAACAGAAGTTGCTGGAAAAGCTCAGCAGGTCTGGCAGCATCTGTGAAGAAAAAATCAGTTAACGTTTCGGGTCCGGTGACCCTTCCTCGGAACTGATGGTAGATTTTCCAGCAATTTCTGTTTTTGCCTGATTTTTTTTTCACAGATGCTACCAGACCTGCTGGGCTTTTCCAGCAACTTCTGTTTTTGTTCCTGATTTACAGCATCCACAGTTCTTTCAGTTTTGATGTGCAAGGTCAGGTGGATTAGCCATGGGAAATGCAGGTTTATAGGAACAGGGTAGGGGATGGGTGCTCTTTGGAGGTTCGGCTTGGACCGGATGGGCCGGATGGCTTGCTTCCACACTGTAGGGATTCTGTGATTCTATGACTCTTTCATTGGTTAGTGAGAACTCAACCAGTAACTGGCTGCTATGCTGTTGAGTTGAAATTGGTGTTCTCCATGCATTGAATAGACCCCATTGTGTTCATATATGTAGCTTCCAGTACATATATATGTATCACACTGTTTGCAAGCTGGACTGACAATTCTAAATAGGTTGTGTGCATAATTCTTAGCATACTTTTGATTACTTAGCAAATGATGTCGACTTGCAGGATTACATCTAATGCTGGACACTGATTTGATTTGATTTGATTTATTATTGTCACGTGTACCTAACTACAGTGAAAAGTTTTGTTTGGCATGCAGTAAAGCAGAGCATACCATGCAAAGACACAAGATCATAGGGTGATTCAACAAAGTGAGCAATACAAAGTTACAGATGCAAAAAATGGTGTAAAAAAAGCAAGATCAACATTAGATTTGAAATTTGAGAGGTCCATTCAGACGTCTAATAACAGCAGGGAAGAAGCCGCTCTTGAATCTGTTGGTGTGTATAAGCTTTTGTATCATCTCCCTGAAGGGAGAGGTTGGAAGAGATTATAACCTGAGTGGGAGGGGTCTGTGATGATGTTGGCTGCCTTTCCGCAGCAACGAGAAGTGTAAATGGAGTCAATGGATGGAAGGCTAGCTGACGCGATGGTCTGGGCTGTGTTCACAACTCTCTGTAGTTTCTTATGGTCCTGGGTAGGGCAGTTGCCATACCAAACCACGATGCATCCAGATAGAATGCTTTCTCTGGTGCATCTGTAAAAGTGGAGGGTCCTTGCGGGCTTACCAAATTTCTTTAGTCTCCTGAGCAGAAAGATGCATTGTTTTGAGTGTGTTTTGAGTTATGTAAGCATAGACTGGTTACATAGGGTCAGTCCCCAGCCAGCTGCAACAGCTGAAGGAACGTAGTCTTTGATGTGATTTACCAGTCTTTGGGTGTGCAACCACCCTTCAAACCCAGCATCACTCCACCACAGAAAATGCAATACCACATCATTCACTTGTGTGATGGGCAGACCACCTGATCACAGTTACAGAGTCATACAGCATGGAAACCAATCCATGCCAACCAAGTTTCCCAAACTAAACTAGTCCCACCTGCTTGTGCTTGGTCCATATCCCTCCAAACCTTTACAATTCATGTACTTATCCAAATGTCTTTTAAATGTTCTAACTGTACCTGCATCCACCACTTTCTCTCAAAGTTCATTCCACACACAAATCACTCTCTGCGTAAAAAAGTTGCCCCCATGTCCCTTTTAAATCTTTCTCCTCTTGCCTTAAAAGTATGCACCCTAGTTTTGAACTCGCCCATCTTAGGGAAAGGACTCTTGTCATTCAACTTATCTTTGCCTCTCATGATTTTATAAAGCTCAATAAGGGGGTAGCATGGTGGCTCAGTGGTTAGCACTGCTGCCTCACAGCAGCAGGAACCCTGGTTCAATTCCACCTTCAGGCAACTGACTGTGTGGAGTTTGCATGTTCTCCCTGTGTCTGTGTTGGCTTCCTCCCACAGTCCAAAGATGTGCAGGCTAGGTGCACTGGCCATGCTAAATTGCCCATAGTGTCCAGGGACATGTAGATTAGGTGGGTTATGGTGGATGGGTCTGGGTAGGATGCTCTGAGGGTCAACATGGATTTGTTGGGCCAAAGGGCCTGTTTCCACACTGTAGGAATTCTACAATCTATGAAGGTCACTCCTCAACCTCCTACACTCCAGCTGAAAAAGGTCCTAACCTATTTTTGTAATTCAATGCCTCCATTCCTGGCAAAGTCCTGGCAAATATTTTCTGAACCCTCTTCAGTTTCATAATATCCTTCCTACAATAGAGCGACTAAAACTGCACACAGTACTCCAGAAGAGGCCTCAGCAACGTCCTGTACAACCTCAACATGACGTCCCAACTCCTATACTCAGTGTGACAGACAGCACTCATGGTGCTACTATTTCAGGTTATGAAGTGATTACCAGGGTTCCATGAGAAACGTACTTTTGATGGAACCTCTACCTCTTTGCATATTTCCAATATGTAGATGACATGTTTGTTATATTTGATTTTGCAGCTGCATTTAAGAATTTCTTCTAATGTCTTAAATGGGCTCCAAATTCACCTTTGCAATGGAGCAGTCAAATGAAATCTCTGTTCTTGATGTCTTTGCTGAGATATTGGCCACAGGTGGTTCTCCTCCTTCGTTTCAATGCGCTATAAGACTGGAACTATTGGCTACCACATAAATAAGTCTGAAGCTATTTGTTCAACCTGCAAACTTGAAGCTGAAATAGTCATCCCACAGGATACCGCCAATTCTGATCAGATGCAAATTCATGACCTGGGCAAGGCTTGGGGTTTAGAGACAGTTCGGCCTGGTGAGTTAGTGGGAAGGAGGGAAGCAACAGAGTCACACAGCATGGAAACAGGCCCTTTGGCCCAATTCATCCATGCTGACCAGGTTTCCTGAACTGAAATAGTCAGTTCAAATCCCTACAGTCCACACTGACCCTCTGAACAGCATCCCACCCCTATAAGCTATGTCTGCATTTTCCATGGCTAACCCACATAGCCTGCACATCCCTCCCTGGACACTATGGGGCAATGTAGCATGGCCAATCCACCTAACCTGCACATCTTTGGACTGTGGGAGGAAACCACAGAGAAAACCCATGCAGACATGGGGAGAATGTGCAAACTCCACACAGACAGTCGCCCGAGGGTGGAATCAAACCCGAGTCCCTGGCACTGTGAGGCAGCTGTGCTAACCACTGGGCCACTGTGCTAACCCTTTCAGTGGTAGCCTTAGGTAAGATTTTAAATAATCCACTGTTACATTAGTCCTCTCAGAACAGTGACAGTAACAGTCAAAGCCATTTTGAAATAAGGACGAGGAAACAGTTTCTCTCTCAGAAGGTTGACATAGATAGATTCTTGATGGCCGAGGATGAAAGATTACTGGAGATATCCACACATTTACATTTGAGGTTAAAATCAGATCAGCCATAATTTTACTGAATGGTGGAGCAGGCTTGAAGACCAAGTGGCCTGAGCTTGTTTTGTATGTGTATGAAATTGTAACCTGTGGAGTATACTTGACAACAACTCTCCCACTTTTGTGTCTAGTATCACCATGTGTTAAGTTTATAAAGATTCACAGATTCATCTTAAATGAATTTCTATCCTAGCAAGAGCCCCCCACTTTATTATGATTCCAACTAATGTAATACTGGACAAGTCATATTCCACTGTGAAAGGTGGATTGATAGACTATAAGCTTTATTTCTTCTATTTAGTTACTGAGGTGGTCAGTCACTGAATATATTAACTAGAGGCTGTCAATGTACTTTTCACAAAAGTACACAAGTTTATTATTCAAGAAAATAGGAAAAGACAGAGCTGTGAGTCAATTTGAAAAAGTCTGATCAGAAACAGTAAAAAGATTCAACCCTTTTTCCCAGCAAACTCCTTTGCAGACAGTCAACCCCAGTGAAATATCTCTCCTATCTTCCATTTAGTATTTCTTACATGATCAACAAAGACACAAGTATTTTCTTTTGGTGAATTACCAGACAGTAACTCTCCATTACAGTCTCTCCCCAAAACACATAGATACAGGCTAACTCACTGGATTTTCTCACTGAACTCAATCAAAGCTGAGGGCTGTTTGTTTCCAGCTACTTGTTCACCTTAGGGCAGCTGAGCAGTATATCTGCTGATGTGGACACTTTCTTCTGCTTATGGTCGTTCTCCATCTGTCGCTCTCTAGTTTGTAAATCTTAAGCAGTTATCTCACCAGGCAGTTTGTGAAGTCATTTAGTCATTCAGGACAGATGGTTTCTTGGAAATGTTATTTTGACCCACTGCTAAAATAAGAAAATCTCTGACCCTTTCAAAAAAGAAGTCACCATCACAGAGCTGAAAGAACAAGAGAAAAAGAGAAATACAGCACGGGAACAAGTCCTTCTGCCCTCCAAGCCTGTGCCAATCATCATGCCCTGGCTAAACTAAAGAAAAACAAACTTTCTGCCCTCATTCAGTCCGTATCCCGCTATTCCCTCCCTATTCATGTAATCATCAAGATGCCTCTTAAATGTCGCCAACATGCCTGATTCCAAGACCTGGCAGTGCATTTCAGGCTCCTATCACTCTCTGCATGAAAAACTTTCCTCACACATCTCCCTTAAACTTTTGCCCTCTC